GTGGGGGGGGGGGGGGGGGGGGGCACGCGCGCGCCACACTACAGGCGTTTTTCCTTTGCTAAGGATTTTAGCAGTGCGTCGAGGTCTGTGTGAAAAGCTACTAGCTGACAATAAAACAGACCAACTATTTATCGCAGCCATATCATATTCCGAAATGTCGCGTTGTTTGAGGTCTCTCGACTTGGGACTATGCCGCCACTTCTGCAATGAAGTGGTTCTCAAAAGGGGGTCTACGAAGACATCCTAGGGGTCCGCGAAGCCCTGTCTCATCAGTCAGGCACGGCAATATTAGTCGTCTTTCTTCACGTTCAGAAGAAACGTTCCAAATTTAGGGAGGGTACTCTCGTGTGTATGTCAATGAGATAAGTCTACTTTACACTAGCAATTAGTTATATCCATTTATTAAATCATTATCATGATAACCGATTGGGCAAGAGATCGAACTTTAGGGTGCGCTCTGACCCGTTTGTTTTCCCCACGCTCGGTGTTTACTCAACACAAGGCCTGTGCACATGCCGACAGGCCTTATGGGCACGTCCATGTCACTTTCTACAATAGAGCGCGGGGCACAGTTTAATGTAAAAAATACTAACAATCGACGAATCAACGTTAAGTGCCGGATCTATCCGCAGAGAATGCGAGCTTGACCCACTTCGGTTTTTGTGCTGAGCTGGGACCGTGCATGCTGCATTGTTCATGCAGGTCGTATTGGAAACAAAAGAGCCCCTCCTCCCCCTCACCGGAAAACACGAAGTCCAGCCGAACGCTGACGCCGTGTTCGGTTATGTCGGCCGAGCGCTGAGTCATTGTATTTGTTGTCCCCATCCGTGTAGTTGTAAAGTTAACCGCTTGGGGCATCACGGTCTGTCCTCCTCCCCAATACCTTTCTGTTCCCCTCACCCCAAACGGGGTCCTCCATCATCTCCGCCTTTCTACAAGGCGTCCGCGAAACATCAATGGTTGAGAATCACTGCTATTATATATGCTATTTCTGTTCAAACAAAGTTTCCAAATTCAATGTTCATCGCTTTTTTTTCTCGTTTGCTTAGAGGAAGGGAAGCAGTTATCAATGTACGATCCTCAGTGCGTACCTCTACACATAACATATATGATATATCTGTTGGTATGTTGGGGGCCCGAGCAAGGTAAGGCTCATCAACAAAGCCGCGAAGGCATAACGACGTTAGAAGCATGCCGAACTAGTGCCACTCGGTCGTAGCACGAACGGGCGAAATGAGAATGGGTCCAGTTGCGAAAAACACGATTCGGATTTTACGAGAAGGTTCAAACGAGAAGGATCAAATGAGAATGGGTCGAAATGTGCAAGGTTCAAATGCGAATGGGACGTTTTGAGATACACCCGTGGGCCTGGGCAGTCGTGTGCCGCAAATTCGAAATTGTTGATAACAAAAAGTGTGTGCTCATTGATCTTTTTGGTTCAGTGAAAACAAGCAAGTGAAGTGCAAAATCATTACGGCACCTTTAAAAAAAAAAAAAAAAAAAAAAAGAAGTTAAGTGGATAAAAGAAAACATATGGACTCCACCAGCATAGTTGGAGAGTGCGTGCTTTATGCTTTCACAGTTTTTAGGATAAGGCCTTCAGTCTTTTTCAGGCTCATGCTTATAAGATGTCGGGCTTGTGCCGGGCCTGGGCTGTGTCTCTACTGGGCCGGGTCGGGCCAGGCCTAGAAATTAAATATAATGTCGTGCTCGGGCCGGGCCCAAGCAGTGTAGGTATCTACTGAGCCGGCCCGGGCCTAAAAACTCTGGCCCGTGCAGTGGTCTAGTCTCAATGATGCGAATAACATGGTGCACAGGTGGTAGTATACTCTATATTTGAATGTTTTTGGCAGAGCAATAAATAAAAACCCCAAACACGCCGATGGCTTTATTATGCAGTTCTTGCATGGTGATACCACAGGGTACCGTATGCATGGCAACACTCCTGGCACGCACATAAAGTCATGCTTTAAAGGTGTAGTGTGACCTTGGTCTCAATGCCTCACAGTATGGCAGCCAGCGGCTACGCTATGCTAAAACTGCCTATTAGTAACCATGGTGCAGGATGATCTGCTGTTGCGATGCACTAAAACTGTGACAGTATGCAGTGAGCTGTGTGCCTATGACACAGAGACATCAATATACTTTGAATGCTGCTCTACCGGAGCTTGACGGCCACCATGTGCGGCTCATGTTTTAGAGCACTGGTGGCCAGGCACAACACAGACACTTCTATATTTTCACCACCCACAAAAATATTTTGACACACAACGGTGTGACCGGGGCCCAAAACACACTCACCTTCCAGAAAGCGTCGCAAGTTCTGCTATGTTTCTGCAACTTCTGAGAAACTACATGCTGGTTATCCTAACGCACGTCAACATCTCCGTCACCTATAATTCTCTTCTGCCCGGACCGTTTTGCGTATGTAGTTAAACAAATTCATTTAAGCACACTGACCAGCGTCAGTGAACAGGCGCACGGAAAATCTATCCCCGTCTCTTCTGCCATCTTGGAACTACTGCCCCGCCATCTATAGGGCGTTGGAGTTGCAAACACTCGTGGACAACTTTCCTTTAGCTATGCAGTCAAATCTATGGGCCTACGAGCACTCGCGCCCCTTGAGCGTTGATCAAAACTGTTCACGCATGCACTTCTGAAATTCCACATAAAGTTGTCCTCGAGTATAATGTAGTTGTTGAAATATGTCTACTGCAGATTTCCACATGTAAATGCAAGCTCAAATTTAAGTTCAGTGCCCTCTCTTAAACTGCCTGGTCTACTATTTAGCAGTACTTTGGCTTGCAGAATACACAGTGATTTCACACAATAGCAGATGGTGAAATTGGTCTGTTGTAAGATTTTTCTTTTCCATGCCTCTTTTCGCAACAAAATACTTCGAGCTACTATATTTTCATGAGCGCAGTGTTTTTTGAATTCTGAAAACTGGGTTTTGCGAATATTTCACAGGCACAAAATTTCGGGATTTTGAATGATACGCTACATATTCATAACCATGGGGCAATATACCCGTAAGATAAATTTTAAGCAATACTTTTCACGCCGCCGAATTTGCAAAAATTTGATTCTTTTAACAACTGGGTCATTTCGAGTAACTCAGAAATGAAATCTTGGTCATAGCTTTTTACGTGTGTGTAGTGCTTCTTTCATTTGACTCCTTTGGATGTTATTGAATGTTGATCTCAATTTTTTGTACACAATTTTTTTTTATGCACAATGGTTTCCGGAATGTGAGATTTTCCACATTTGGCTAATTCACGCATTCAGTTTGATGCACAGTGATGGTGACACATTTACTTGCAAGAATAGTTTTGTAGATATCCATTGCACATTGTTGCAGTTTTGAAGCCAGCCAATCAGCGCCGTTGATCCGCTGCTATGGCTACGGAGCAGTGACATAGGGTTCCCCCAGAATCACATGCTCCGCAGGAAGCTGCAGTAAGGTGGCGGGAGTTCCTTCACACCTCGTTGCCTATGCTTGGGAAATCAAGTGTTTCGCAGCAAAGAATGCGAGATATGTGCAAAGAGAAGAAATAGCCTGCTTTATTAATATTGGGTAACGAACTTCATCAGCAAAGATTTGATTTACTCCAGGGGTCTCAGACACGCGGCCCACGTCTCGCTGGGACGCGGCCCGCAGGCAACCGGCTGCGAGTCCCGGTTCCCATGTTTCGAGTGCTAGGAATGGCATGCTCCATAGTCATCTCATGTCATTGACTCATTTTTGCTCGAAAAGTAGCTCTGCTCTTTTAACATATTCACATAGTTTATACTTATTTGTATTAATTTGCCCTTTATTTCGCTTTATTTGTTACTTCCCAGCTTTTTGTAACGTGCAACAATTCCGCTGCGAGGCTGCAAGCACGAGCTATCCATTGAAAGATTCATCTCGGTTGCATGAGCTCTCGATCAGCAGGATTAACTGCCAAAAATAAAGCTACGAGGTCAGGATTCTCGCCTTCAAAAATATATCACTTTTAAAAGACAAGTATTTCTTCGAGTCTTGTAATAAAAATCGTCAAAAAAGCAAAAACTGTCAAATTACAGATTTTTTTTTTTTTAGAGACACATTGGGTTTGGTTAATTCCCGAGTGAATTGAGCAACGGGAACACCAGTGTATACTTGTTCTCTTGTTCTATTAAAAATGCCAGCACGTTGGCGGGGCGGTGTCATTTTAATTCTGATGATCGCATCAGGTCAGGCCCACAGTAGTCATAAGAAGAAATCAAATCTAAAAATGTCACTGGCAGGTTCACAATCTCTTCCCCCCTCCCGCCCGTGTTACATTGGCCCTCGACCTTCCCGGTGTGAGATATCTGGCCCCCACGCCCAAATGGGTTTGAGACCACTGGTTTGCTCGGTTCATTAGGCCTAGGCCAAACCAGGGGAAGAATGTGAGCAGCAAAGCACAGGTGTATAATTTTGACGTGTTTTGGTGATTTCTGCACCTTTAAAAGTTCAGTTAGCCTCAATCATTGTGTTTACATGCAGCGCTTAAACTCATTGCCACGGTTAAGGAACCTGCTCTGCGCCTCCGACATGTTCGCACCATTTTGTCTGCTCATTGCTCGCACCATGTTTATTTCCTTTTCGTGGCTTTGACTTGGACACTGGATCGGCCGTCAATTAGGCTCTACCAGGAGCTTGCGCCACTGTGGAGATCCCGTCGGAGCGTTTGTAGAGTAGTCATTGACGGTATTCGCAGCGTCTGCATTCATCCTCAGAGTGATTGACAAAACTTGGTGAGGCTTCAGTAAAATATCGCTTCAAAAGCAAGAGCTAGGTGCATCCTTTTTTGGACATGCGCTTTTCTTCAATCTCGTTTAGAGGGTCCATTTCAAAAAATAGATACACGAAAAAAGTTCCATTGTGTGAATGAACCTTTGGGAATATTATCGCCAGGGATCTCCTGGTTACTGTGATTTTGATTTGTTCCCCTGTTCTTTGCATCACATTGTTTCTTTCTATTTTCTTTCAGATTCGATACAAGGGTAAAAAGCTGGACTGGTACAAGGCAACCTGGTTTCGGAAGCAAAGGATAAAGAAGGTGGGCAAGTTATTTTTAAGCAGCAACTGCTTCGTCTGCTGTCAAAATAATTTTCAATGTTATTTTCACGTCCCTGGTGTCACTTCCTTAAGATGGAAAGGTAGTTTCTAAATTATTTTGACATTTTCTGTCACAATGGTTATTTTGGTGGTGTTGAGGTGTTGCCGCATTATAGCCGTGTTGCCTCCTCGAGAGCCCAACAAGCTTTGCTCCTAACTCAACCCTGAAAATGTCTTCGGAGTGTTTGTGCTCGACTGTTGAATGATTCTCTTAAAACAGCCCCCGTGCATGAGAGTGACCATAGAGCAGGGTTGCCCAGTGGTTGGGAGCGCTTTCCCTTGGGACAGGCGATGTATTCTTGGCAGGTTTTCACGTAAATTTTGAAGATTAGATGCCACAACGATGGCGAGCTGGATATTGCTCCTTCTTGCTTGCACATAATAGGTAGTCTTAGAATAATGTACGCAATTTTAGCGCACATTAGCACATGGGTGCCAGAAGCATCAGAAGCAAAAGTTCTTTGCCTGTTGGAGGGTGTGGTTAAAAGATCCCCCTAATGTGCGGCGGTTGTTATGTAAGGCAGACCAGATGACGCCTTAATGACTGACTGTGAGAACATTTACTGGACAACACCTTAATGACCGACTCTGAGAACATCTTATTCCCTTCATGCCATGGTGGGGGCCCTCCTGCCTTTACACTGTATCGCCTGCCAGTGCTCACTAACTTTTATGACAACAATACTAGGGAAGTGTCAATATCGGCAAACCAGAGAGATATTGGAAGCTTATCATGTTCAAAAAATAGGCCAGTGATGTGCGAGTCACCGTTCGCTATCTTTGAGTGACGGCCTTCCTAGCCAACGTCTACGAATAAATTTGGCTGGACTGGAAATTAAAGAGAGTGCCCTTTTTCTTTTTTTTAATGCAAAAGCATTAATTGTTTTATAGAATGCAGCCGGCATTGTTCATAACCGCGAAAAACAGCTCCTGAACTCCCTCCCGAAACGGCGGTTAAAACGGCTGCGACGCATCATAGTTGCAAGGAACGCCACCCCACAGAGAAGCCCTCGTCCTGGCACTGCGGCCTGCGCACCAATAAAAGAAAGAGAGTGGCACGCTTGCGGCCGCCCCTCTCTTCCTTTTTTCGGGTCATGTGTCGGGTGTGGCCGGAAAAGGGGGGGGGGGGGGGGGGGGAAGAGCGGGGAGGTCCCGCTTTTTCTTCCTGTGCACAACTACAGTCGCCGACCGATTTTTTGAGTGCCGATAATTCGGACTTGTTCAATATTTTGGACCTAAAGGAGGAACTGTGATTTACCCAATAGAAATAGTGCATATTCACGACCAATGTTTCGAACAGCTTGAGGTTCGAAAGTTTGATTTTTCTTACACAATCGTTGCGAGTGATCAGCGTGAAACAACACCGAGAAGCGGCCATTTTGGATTCTAAATTGGCTGCACATGGATTGGCTTGGGTTGGCAGTGCTACTTAAATGCTGCTAAGTCCTACTGCTGGGTGACGCTGTACGGCTCTTTCTCCAGCTGCGCTTCATTATCATCATCATTGTTGCTTCCATTTTGCTTTGTTCATTCGCCATTGCAGTCATGGACTTGCGCCTCTCATCTCGATCTTGTCTCGGTGAATCGTGTTTTCGGACTGCGATGTGTCGCTAAGAAGCGCAGAAAGTACTCGACCATAACACTAGAAAAGAACGCAGCGATTCTCAAGTTATTAACAGAATGTTGCCGAGCGCAAATGGAGGCGTAACCTAAAACAAAGCGCACAGGCGTAACCTGAATCAAGGCACTATTTATGGCTCTTTTAAGCCCGCTTAGACGTAATAATGGCAAGTTTTGTAATCTGCTGATTTTTCGGACTGCTCTATTCTTCGGACGTTTTTTCATTCCCCGCAAAGTCCGAAAAATCGGTCGGCGACTGTATATCACGTGTTCTACGCTCTGCTTTCAGCCATGTCGTGCCTTCCGGCTGGCGACTGCAGAGGACAGCGGGGCGCACTGCTTGTAGGAATGCGCTGCGTGTATGAATGCTTTTGCATGCCCCCTGTAATTTCTTTTTTTTTTTATGCGTTTTTTTTTTTTTTTTTAATCTTTGTTGTTTCATTTTTTTCTTCCTCTGCTTTTTCAAGCTCAACTCACTCATGCCTCTTGTTTTTCTTCTTTTTTTATCACGTGTGTGTTTCATTTCTGATGCTTCGTCTTTCTCTCTCTTTTACAAGAGTCCATCAGTTTGGAATTAGTGCTCTATTCTACGTGTTCTCTTCCTCTCTGCTTCTGGACTGTTAATATGTCGTCCATGTGCCAACCATACTCCGTTCACCCCTAAGCTGAGACTGTGGTGGGAGCTACGTGGCCGCCGGTCTAATAGGCCTCCTGCCTTTCATCAGCTGACCCGGCTCTCTGTACGTGCTTATGGGTGGGAGCGTGATCACGTAGTAAAGGAGAGATCTATGACTGGTCCAACGAAGATGTAGTTTCCATGGCAATCTCAGCTTGGGGGTGAACGGAGTATAGTTCATATCTTCCTCATTACTAATGTTCAGAGTTCAAAGTGTGTACATTATTCTTGAATGTACAACTTTTGTCGTTCTTAAATGTATTTGTTACTTTATTGTCGAAATTTTTAGAAGCCTATTGTGTAATGCCCTATGGTAGGGCCTTTAAGGTATTAATAAATAAATAAATACATATAGCGCCCTTGGCACTTTTTAATATGGCATCAATCTTTTCTTTGTGTGATGCATAGTTTTTGCTGAAGCGTTTGACCGGCATTCAGTGAAGCACCGTGTCTTGTTTCATTTGAGGCTGTACGGTATCAGTCAATTGACCGATTTATTGATTTAAGCAAAAAAAAGTAGTCAGCTACACCTTATATTTGTGATTTTGCCATCTTTGCATATAGAATTGCTGAATGAAGTCAAGAAATATTGCATTTCTTTCCTTTTATACCAAACCTTGCACGTTTACTTGGTGTGCATGTCTTTAATGTAGTCGTCCCCCTCTCCCCTTCCCTGCTCAAGCACTAAATGGTGGCAGTTTTGGTGTATTCCTCCTGCCTGCTGCTTGCGTAAAGGCCCGTTCACACTTTTGCAACCGAGTATGACCGAAAAGGACGGGACCTGTTGAAACCTCTTAAAATTTCTTAGGACGAGAGAACACACTGGCACTCTGGCGCCATCTATGCGATGACCCTGGAATTGCATTTCACAAGAGCGGAGGTTTTGCGAGATTTCTGAGGTCAAATATGCGTAATACAGTTGAACCTCGATTTTACGAATTTCCCGATTTAATGAACAAATTCTGATTTTCTGCACAGCCTATGCTGCGCAGAAAACGTCTCCCTTCCTCGATTTTACGAAGTTCCCAATTTAACGAAATAATTAGCGGGTCCCGGTGACTTCGTTAAATCGAGGTTCAACTGTACCTATAAGAAAGGCTCGTTTATGACATTGACAAAAGTTTTTCGAGCCAAAAAAGAAAGGATAACGCACGAGAGAAATAGAAAATATGCCGGACCGCCTGCTACCAGATGGCGCCAGTGTGTCCTCCCGTTGTAAGGTTCCAAGGCATCCGGTTCTAAGAGGCCGTAAGTGTGTGAACAAACCTTTGGTGTCAGCTAATGGTGATTATACGTTGCAAGTTGAGGTGATAACAACCTGATCGCACATTGCTTCAACTGTGTTGTGATGTTTGTATACGCAAAATTACTAAATTAACTAATAGCATTGATTTGTGCCTTATGATTCATTTTAATATTACAGGATGACAGAGAAAACCATGTTGGGAGCAAAGCTCCACCAGGTGAAAAGACAAAATCTGGGTGAGCTTATTGTCATGGCTAGTTAATACAGTATTCCCACAGGAAGGTTGCTGGTTGCTAATAATTTCGCTCTTCATTTCAGGATTGTCATCAAGAAACCTCGTGAGTGCCAACAAAGCATATTGAAATCTTCGTCTTCAAGTAATGAAGCTTGCCACAAACTTTAACCTGAACTGACGCTTTAGAATAGACATAAATCTCAAGTAAAAAGTAAATCATGGTAATACTGGCAACTCCGTAGTTTTTGTCACACTTTTTTCTTGGTCAGGTAGGTTTGTCGCAAATTAAGAATGGTTAATGCATATAATACCGTAAAATCCTGAAAGGGTGCCCACCCAAAATGAAGAGATAAATGGTGAAAAACATGAGGTATGATATCTTTAAAGATGAGACAGCAAAACTTTATAAAAAAAATTAATGATAAACAAGTGACACTCGCTACAAACCACGTGACACGGGAACTGATACTGCAGACCACGGACATGGCGAATTCGTGTTTCACAATAGGATAGTCACGCGGGAATTCGCTACGGACTCCTGTGTCACGTGAAAGGATACCGCAAACTGTGGATGCAGCAAATTCGTGTTTGATGGTGCAATAAACACTCGGAAGCTGGCTAAGCTTGCATGCCACGGAAACCAATATCAGGTGTGCAGATCGCGGACAAAAACGCGGGAGCCCACTGCAAACCTGCTTGTCACATGTACTGGTACTGCAGGTCGCACGGTTGATGCGATTTCCATCAGACATTACGTGATGCGGCATATTCGCGTTTCACGTGATAAACTCGCGTGAATTCGCTTTTAACTCCCGAGTCACGGGAAAGGTGCAGGTGCAATTTTCACTTTCTAAATGGCCTTTTCTTTTTATTAATACATACTGCAGAATACCGTGCAATCAGCCCATTCCACACTAAGTGCCCATTCCCAAATTCGTAATATCTTAAAAAATATGCACAGTACATTGATATGTAAAATTGATGACTGGACAAGTGCCCATCCCCCATTTTTTCGCGATTATATCTAAATCTTGAGTGGGCGCTTGTCCGGCATTTTACGGTAGTTGACCACGTGAACCATCCTAAGCCGGCAAAGTTTTGGGATTTTCGTGTTGCGCATATTTAGCCAGAAAAATGGGGTGGGCGATCTCTTGGGGGACGGCGCCCTTACGGGATTTTACAACACATCTTTATAGCCCCTTCCCCTGGCAAATAGTGAGCGCTCGCCACTACGCTTGCCGAACAAATTCCTGTGCCAATTGCAGAATGCTAGCGATCTCTCCGTGTGCCGCTCGTAGACCTGGAGCCAGTGGAGCCCTCGCCAAGCGGCTTCAAACAATCCGTGGGAAAGTGGTTGAGTGTGTCGAGCAATCCACAGAAATTCTTTGCACTGCTGCTCCGGTAAAGTTTGATCCATAGTCACTCGCATCATTTCAGTTTCAGTATTTACATTTGCATTGTTGTCGCAGCCACGAAAGCGATTGTGCTAGCAGAACTTGATGATGGGGAGTTGTGAGAATATCAGAGGGATGTGGTGCTGTTGCAAGCCTAGTTACAAGCTGTTCGAAGGTCGGCGAAGTGATACGGCGCGGTGCTAAGGTGTTGACGTTTCCGCCAAATGGCTGTAGTTACGATCAAGATGTATCAAAGGTCACTCTTACTTTATGGCATGCTCATTATTTCGTGAGAAGGGTATGTCGATCGGTTGCCTTATAAGCCAAGGCAGTAAATATGAGCTGCGCCCGTCCAGCACGATGACTTTCGTGCTGTACACGGGGCTGGCGAAGCGTTGGAGGGCGTTGGTGGTGGAGAGAACAGCCGGAACAGCACCGTAACAGTGGTGGTGGGAGCCACGCAGCAGAGATTCCAGCAAGTAGAGCAGTCATGTCTGCTTCATCGTGTGCCCCTGAGATCCGTCGTTATCCGCTCCACCACCGAGACCGGATGCTCCAAGTTATAAATCCGCGAGTGCTCGCTATTTGCAAGGGGAAGGGGCTATTGGTGTGTTAGCTGGCATCTGCAGGCGCAGCAAAAAACTGTCTTGGGCAATGCCATATCTTATTTGCAGGTGCAGTTTTCACATTCCCAATGGCTTTGTTTTTTTTATTATTACATAGTTGACCGCATAAACCATCCTAAGCAACCCCTCTCTCTCTCCGCTTCTTCCAGCTGTCCTTAGCTGTTGGCACAGAAAAGCTTCTATGCAAGGTTTTCTAAATTACTATGCTATGATAAGCCTATGCCAAACTTGGCACAAAAATCCACACAGTGCATCAGTGAGGTGCACTCTTTGGCGATATCTAGGACTGTCAAAATCCCTTCAAGTTGCTTGTTAGCTCACATGTGGGAAACTAGTCATTCCGGAAGAACAGTCTTTTCTGTACTGCCACCTTTGACAGGTGTGTGCATTCTGAAGCCAAACAAAACTCCAACAGTTGTTTTTGTTTTCGTTTTCTGATGGTCTAGTTGCTTACCAAAACACTCCAGAGCAGACAGCGCCGAAGGAAACACTAATTTTGAATCATGGTGCTCTAGGAACGCGCAACATTGAATGGTAAGTGGGACTGTGCCATCTTTCACTGCCTTTTTTTTTTTTAACAAGATTGAGCATTCGTGGTTTTCTCTGCCTTTGATTTCAGCGATTTGAACACCCTAGTCATCTCCACTCCATTCAGTGTCCTGGACCGAATTCAGCCCTTCACACTCACAATCTCGACCAACTGCTTGCTGCTCATTGTAAGAACCCCTTTCTGCATGCTTTTGTCAATCGAGATTTGACAGTCTGAACGGATATTTGTTGCAGGTTAGGGGGTCCAGTAGCTTATTTAGGAAAGGAAAATTTTTGCTAAATGTCAACAGCTTTTTGAATGTTTGCGAGTTCCTGTTAGCTATTCGTTACGATTCACCACATTCGCTACCCAAAGTTTCAATGAAATGCCAAACTACCTGGGAACTATGTTGTGTTGAATTACTTTATTTGTTCGGAACATTGAATCACAGAAGAAAAAATTACAGGAAGATCCATTGGTGGATTGTTGAGGAGTGCGTTAGCACGACCCTTGGAAACGCCACACTTGTCCCACTTCGGGAAACACTAACACTTACCCCTTCACTTTTTTCTTTTGGCTTTCTCTTTTGCTTCCTCTATTTTTTGCTGCCTCTTTTTGGCCTCGTTACGGGGTCAGTGTTAGCATTCTCCAAAGGGGGACGTGTGGCGTTCCCCAAGGGCCATGCTAACGGATTCCCTAAGGATCCACCAATGGATCTTCCTGTAATTTTTTCACCCTTCTTCTGTACTCTCTGCCTATCAGAGTAAGCTGACGTCCTTGGATACGATCCTCCATATCACTTGTGCAAAGGACCACATCCATACCACTCGTGGAAGGAACTGCATTCATATCCCTCATGGAGTGAACTGCATCCATCGTTTTACTACACACACATACACATCACAGCTCACGCACTGCTACTACAGAAACCCAGAGCGAAGAACAACCAGCGACGGCAGAGTGGCAACTGTGCACGCGCGCATAGTAGCGTCGCAAGGGCGAGGTGGGGGCGGACCGCCTTGGGTGCAGCGCTCAGGGGGGTGCAGCTGGGCAGTGAAGGGGGGGGTGGGGCACGGCAGGCTACCTAATGACACCACTGCGCCCACATTCTGCCCTGCCGCGGCGCAACACCTCCTAGATAACGAGGATTACGTATACAGTCGGCTCAAAGTTGACTTGACTCGAAGCCGAGCACTGACACGGCACTCGTTTCCAATCTGTGTCCAGCGTTGTCCTCTGATGACACAATCTCATTCAGCACTAAGGCTTTGTTACCTGGGGGGTGTTGCGCGGCACCTCCTCTCTGGCCTCGCGCCACCTGTGTGCCTGACTTTGATGAAAACCAAAGGGCTCGTTTTGATGAAAACCCGGCGGTGTCTTTTAGTTTGTCAGCTACTGGGAGAGAGGGAGGAGGGGGGAAGATTGACGCATTCTGACGTCAGCGCTTCGAACCAATGAGAGTGTCGTATGCGTCACCCTCTTCCCCTCCTTCTCCCTTTCTCCCTGTAGCTGACAAACGAAAGACACCGCCAAGTTTTCGTCAAAACGTGCGTTCTAATGCGAACACATTAAAAGATACCTGCACCCTGCTCTGATGGAGCTTGGCAAGCAGGTGTCGATCAGTCGAGTTATGTATCTTCAGAAGGGGCCTAGAACTACCTCTTGCATACAGTAATGCTATCAATGTCCCCTTTCTATGAAATGTTCACTAGCAGGAATTAGTAGTGCACGAAGGATGTAATATTGGATTTTTTTCCTCTCGTTGCCAAGTCTTGGAGGGCCTCTTTTGCAAGTTGTTCTAGTCACGTATCATCTATTGCTACAGATCTACCCTTTGTGTAAAGGATGCACTCGACAAAAGGGTTACTGTACCTGGATAAACCTTTTTACGCTTGGCTTGTTCTGAGACTGTTTTCCACCCATATAATAATTTCGAGGACTAGCAGTTTGCCACAGCCATGATCTAAAGATTAGACAGTGGCTTTTCTTTTTGCACTACTTTGTGTTACTACTGAAACTCTTACAATTTATTATTCTGTTCTTTCTCCCTTTCATAAATTTTTATAAAGTGTAGCAAGTGATACTAGTGCTCCAGTTGGATTGAGAATGTTTGGCTAGGCAATCTAGTTCTGCTAGCCTGATCTGCGCCAGCTTTTTTAGTATTGGAGTTAAAGGGAAGCTGAAGAGCTTTTCGAAAAAAATGAGTTAATGGTTGATTCTGATGTGTTTGTGCCTGCTGAGTCCAAATATCACAACCGTTTGACCCAAAATAATCCCTAAACGCAAAAAAAAAAGCGAAGAAATCAGAAGCGATCGCCGCAGCGGCTCACCATTGGCTAGCCACCCGTGACGCGCCGCTGCGTCATAAAAGGACCATCTCGATTCTCGTTTGCTCCGTCGCTTGCGGAAGTAGCCGGGCGCCGGGTCTTCTACTCTTGTAAATCGGGTTCGGCTTCTGATTTTTCGAAATCTTCGGTGGATCCCAAAGAGGAATGTGTCCAGACGACCCTCGACGTGACAAAGTATGCGTTCCAGCCGTTGGCATAGTAGGAAAATGACCCCCCGCAGTAATAAACGCAGACACGAGGAACCGCTTGCGCGGACGCGACATGGCCGGCTTCATACCTTTAGAAACGCACTGACTGCTACTTATTGTAACCTAAAACGTTGACAATAAACGAAGTGCTATTGACGGGACGCCTCAAGCCGGATTAGCGTGACCCTCCCCAAAACGGTCGTCAGAGGACACGAATTCTGCACACATCGGCTTTCGTGCTTGCCAGCTGCTGGACGCGTGAGCGTGCAGGCTGCATTCTTCACCAAGGCGGAAGTGGTTTGAAGGGATAGTATAATCAGCTTCGGGCGACGGGGGAGCTTCCCCTGAGATGAGACGGGTGATAAGATAGGGTCGCCGTTCTGCCACCGCCATGTCCTTGCGCACTGTGCGAATAACTGCGCAAAAGGTCCATTTTTGTGATAGCAATACCCTCTGCTGCGTTTAGTTTGTTTGCCACAAACTATTACGCCATTATAGCTTTAGAAAAAGCTGAGATGTGTGCCCGGCCCCTTAATTTGGTGTCGAAATCGTGAAAGCTTCCTGGGCCTCTACATTCGCATACTTCTACCAAGATTCGTTGACAGCATCACACCACCACCAAGCATTACCATCGTCCGATCGCATTTCTACGGCACAAACAATTGCTGCATGACACAAACTTTATACGGAAAACACTGCGTAACTTGTAAAAAAATAACTCAATCCAGAACAGAAGGTCACATGCTTTGTATTTCCACAAAGCTCTCCTGAAGAGAATATGAACCTTTGGAAGGAAAATTTAACAAAATTTATGTTTACGTTTAAAAAATATGTGACCCCAAATAATGTCAGCAACTGTAAAAAAAGTTTATGCTAAAACAAGTTGCACCGTGAGATTCGCATTATGAATCGCATGACCACTTATTAGAGCAAGCCCTCCTCTCCCAAGTGACTGGGTAGCCGAGTAGGTTAAAAGCAAAAGAAAATAATCTTGGGCTACCCAAGATTGTTTTCTTTTGTTGCCCAGCTTTCCCAGACCGGAATCGGTCCGGAAAATATGGTCACTTCAATAATATAAAAAACCAACACTAAAGCACTAATATAAGGCAGTTAACACAAGAGAGCCAGTAGAAACCCGCTATTTGGCTAAATGATCGCGGCTTTTCTAGCACACTGCACAATTCTAATAACGTAATAGCTTTTTTCTAGAACAGTCGACCTGCAATTCCTACCTAGTTACGTTTCCTCTTTGCTTGTGACTTTTAATGCGCTTAATTGCCTTCTTACCTTCAAAGATGGTCGGCAGAACGTCGGGTTCAGGCGAGCCTTCTTCAGACCCAAACCCATACGTACATAGTTTTCATATGCGCCGTCCGAAAGACGTTTCGAACAAAAAACGGCGTACTTGATCAATCCCACCCACCCCTTTAAAATCTCGGTGACGAAGTGGAAAAGACGGTAAGCTGGAAGAACAACTGCGACGAGCGCTGTTCGTGAAAGCTGACGGCTACACATGAGTACAGCATCGTGCAACAGCACGAGTCATTTGGTTCGGTGCCACGAGAGTTCTGCAAACACGTGAACAAACGAGAGAACAATCAACACATCAGGCGATTGAGTCAATAGCATGACCGGTCAACGGATAAAAGCAAGCGCTACGCAGTGACAGAACGACGACGGCTCGAAAAGACACTAGAGCGCAATGTAGATGGTTGAGCGTGTTGGTTATTAATTTACGATAAGGAAAGAGGAACATTTAAGACAAACAGGCAAGAGCAGCCTACGAGGAAAGCGCGGCCAGCGGCGGCGGGGTCCCCCAGCCGGTCAATTTGTGACGCCGGCTGACGGGCTTCCTCCTCTCTCCCCTTTCCCTCTGCTTCGGAGAGGTGTGGCTTTGGCGCTACCTTGAAGGCGCTTTTCCGGTTAATCCGCACAGAAAATGACCAAACAAACACAATATTCGTTATGGCTGAGGTCTCATTAACTAGGCTCAGGTGTTTTTTTCTCATATTTAAAACCGCTTCGGCTTCCCTTTAAGAGGAGATGCACGTCGAAAAACGGCAACTTTTTCGAAAAAAAGTTATTTTTCGTTTTTTAGTGTTCTATTATCTTTGAACCTTCCTCTTTTGCGTATAAAAAATCAAGACCGAATATCATCATGAAATTAGTCAGATATGAGTTGGAAGCCCTTCTCGTGATGGAAAACAGCTCAAATTCGAGCCATTTTCGAGAGCGTGATTCTATGGATCGCGGCGTCACCCGCTATCGCGTTTGTTTTGGTGCATAGGCCAAGCCGTTTACTCCGAAACTGTCGTCGATAGTTTTATATTCTGGTTGCAAATAATAAGAAATAAATGTTCTTTCCCGCTGCAAACGCGCGTCGCCACTGGCATTTTAAATCACGTGATGCGATTGTTGCCCTGCCATTGGCCCAGAGAAGCGTGCTGCGCGGTGAAGCTTGCTTCAGGTTTTAGCGTCGCAGTGCTCCTGAAACCAGAACCAACGACTTGTTTGATCATTTGCTTCCTTCGCGATGGACGTTGACCGAAAACGGGACTTTTGAGCTCGGAAGTTTCGGATGACACACAAGTTCAAAGGAAGTCGCCAAAAGGGCAAGCAGAAAGCTTTAAAGAAGAAAAGTTCACCCGCGGCAGCAAACCCTAACCTCGGTTGGGTGGACGCTTCCAAGTATGATCGCTTGAGTTTCATCGGCAGCGCTGACGAGTTTGTTAGTGCATCGGAAAAGAAGATCAGGATGCTTGAAAACGGAGAGAGAGCTGGAGATGGGGGGGGGGGGGGGGGGGAGAGTGCGAGTAGCGTGATCTGTGAGATCGGCGGCGCGATGAAAGCTCTTGTCGGTGGCGCGGCATGCTCGACTTGCATAAAGTGCGAACTCGCCGTTCAGGATTCGGCTGCTACGCGAAAGGGACTGGCATCTTTTCTGGAGCTGTGCTATGTAGTGGGAGAATTCTAGTTTGGTGGTCCAGACTCTGACATTTAGAACTATATAACCACCAAGTTTTGTGTGGTTTGAGTGAGAATTTAGGTATGTCACATAAAACTAAACTTTCATTTGCGTTTTTTTCAAATTGGTATTTTTGCCTGTTTTCGGAGATTGTGCACACAATTTTCACCATTTGGTTACTGTACCGCAGTGGCGTAGTCAGGATTTTTTTTTGGGAGGGGTTTGATGGCGTCCTCTTCCCCCCCCAATGACGCAGGGTGAGCTCGGCGGTACGGACGATTAGAGAGGCGCTGTTAAAGGGCCCCTGAAAAGAAAAAAAAAAAGTTTTTTAAACAGTCTAGTTGGGACACGCGTGTCAAGAAATAAAATTTACGGGGAAAAAAAATTTAGGAGCCATATTTACGGCGAGAGATTTATTTTGAATTCTGCGCGCAAAGTCCATGACGTCCCGAAATGGTCATTCGCTCTTTCGACCTCAACGAGATGGTCTTTCGCTTTTTCCACCTCAAGGTGAAGGTGAAGCCGATTCACTTCTCCTCCACGCTCCCGAAATGCCGAGAGAGAAAACAAGTGGAAAGCAGGTGACTACCGACTAAATCGCGCATTGCGCCGACTATATTGCTCTAAACAAATTTAATTTTTTTGACACGCGTGTCCCAACCAAGCTGTTAAAAAAAATATATATATATATATATATATATATTTTTTTTTTTTTTTTTTAAATTAAACAGGTAAAGCTGCATTGTCATTTTTCAAAACTGAGCAGGCTTCATTTACAGGAACTCGCACGTGGTGGCTCACTGTTCTACTGTCGTCGTAGTTGCGGCTCACCAACTTTAAAAGCTTCCTCACAGCACACAACTCCCCCCGCTTTTTGAGGTACCACTGCATTACCAACGTGTGAAGGTCAAACAAAACACAAAGATAGCTATACTGTCACAAGAAATAAAGCAGTAAAAAAAAAAAATCTTGACGCTGTAAAATCAGAGCAAAAATCAAAATCTATTATCTATTAAATGTTTAACAAATTCGTTCTACAAAACCAGATGCCGAACGAAAGTGAGTCTTATTTTTGCTAGGCCGCTTTATCTTGCAGTGTGGTTCAAAGGCAGCAGTGGCCTATCCTTGAGGCGATGAGAAGTTGTCAGTCCGAACTGGTTGGTCCGTCATTTGAAGAAATGACATGACACACCACACACAAACACGCAAAAAACACGCCGAACGTGGAAATGAACTTGACTACCCATGTGCCTATGCATAGTGAGAATATGAAGGCTCTTCGAAGTTTCTGATGTTCCGTGCAACGAAAAGATTTATCTAATAACGAATTGCATCGGATGCCACCTCGACATACAAAGCAGAAAGCAAGATGGACTTCATCGCATCCGTGAGCGACTCGATGGAGGAAAATTTTCACAAAGTGAGGGAGACTTCGCCAAATGTAGGGAAATTTTAGGCGTCCAATGCCAGTCAGGTCTGTGCCACAGGCGGTCGCCCTCTGTCCGGAGGCCCTATTTCAGAACGTCCATCGTCTCCACAAGATCCTAATAATTCTGCCAGTAACAACGGCGGAAGCTGAGTGCTCGTTCTCTTCACTACGACGGCTGAAAGCATGCCTGAGAGCGTCCGATTCGAATAAGTGACTGCTCGGTCTTGCGCTTTTGAATGTTCACCACGACATTGAAGTTCAAGCGGAGAACGTCCTGGATATTTTTTGCCGTGAACGCAGGCGGCTGCATCTTAATGTGTAGTCGCTTGGCATAAATGAAATGATAAAGAGAGGCTGTAAATTGCTTTCTGAAACTAGTCACAGTTATCTTCTTATTCACGATAATTTCTAGTCGAAAGCACGTAATTCTGATCAGCACCCGTTGCTTAGAGTGCGGTTAATTTTTTTTAGTTAAATTTAAAGTTAGTGCAATTAAATTAATATTCCTTACATCACTGACATTGTTTTATATTATCAACATGTGTTCGATTTGTTATGTTCACTTTAGTTTGATAGAACTGTGAAATTCAGTAAAAATAGTTTGTTATACTTTGCCTTGAAATTGCAATCCTTCACCCCACAAATATTTCGAAATATCCATCTTTATATATCTGAGATCGAGTTCCGCATCCCATCGAATAAACATGAATGAAGCAATATCGCATATTTTATTAATTTGAGCATTTTCCATTCTACAAACATTTTTCCCAAAAGCATACAAGTTGGAGATAGTCCGCGCTTCCCCGTTGATCCGTGCCTCGTGGAGAACCGACTGCGCGTGAGCAGGGGAGCGAGCGGGCCCCGGCGAAAGGGGGGGGGGGGGGGGGGGGGTAGCTTTGGCATTTCGGGAGGGGTTTCGACCCCCCAAACCCCCCCTCTGCCTATGCCACTGCTGTACCGGAGCCAAATCTTGCACAGGTGTTCCTGGTGATGTATAGTGTGCAAAAATCTGCTAGTTATGCGATTGGCACCACCGAATTTTTATAAGAATTATAAAACTAAAAGTGAAACAGGAAAAGTGATGACTCAATAGTTCACAGTTTTTATTTTCTCTCGAGGCATAGATTTTTTTTTTTTTCCAGCTGGATTTGCACATTCTGCTGTTCACAAGGAAGCAACCAGGCTATTTTAGGATTTTTTCTTATAGTAAATTTGAGAAAAAAATACTTAAAAGGTTAAAACAGCGCAAAAAACGGCGGACAGGGTAAAGAAGGACACGGACAGAGCGCTGACTCGCAACTAAATTTTTATTGGCCTCAACGGTGCAATATATACGCACAATTGAGAACAAAAAGAAAAAAATCAGCCTGAAAAACACCCAAAACAAAAGCACGATAAATGAAGTATCACCTCTAAAAAGACAAACAAAGGGCACGCGCTAAAACCAAGCTAATCAAGTGGCCAGAAGATGAATCTCTTTCCTTGATAAGGCAACAGAAGGGCTGCTGACACACATGAAACTCAATCTTTCTATTTCTAGAGCCTCCAGAATTTCACGTGTCAGCTGGTCCTGGTGACGTTTAGTCAGGGGCGGATGCAGGAATTTTCCGAGGGGGGGGGTCAGGTGTTGGTCAGCGTACCATATGTTTAGGAACCTCCTCCCCCACTCCTTCATTTTACGCCCTAAATTTTACACATGCAAAAATCAAGAAGGGGGTCAGGACATCCGGACCCCCCCCCCCCCCCCTAAATCCGCCCCTGCGTTTAATGACCTCGCACTGTTGGAACTGAAAAAAATATAAAAAAAATGGTGCAGAAAAAAGGCATTTTATATGCCTTAATACGGCACAGATATTTTACTAAGGCAAATATCAGAAAACTGACTGCATATATGACAAGAGGAGCTCAATCTGTACTAACTGTGCAAATTTCAACCTCCTAACTTCAAAGTTTAAAAAAAAAAATTATTCTCGAGGAGCATGTCTTCAGGGATACTGAATTAAAATTGAAAAAAAACCTCTCATCTTTAGAAATAAGTTAAACATAGTCAACTCTGTGCTAATGACAATTGCACACTTGTATTTTGAACGGATGGTTATATTTTTTGTTCCAAAGGACCGATTCCAGCGAGCGCTTGAAGATCGGTCATTGGAGAGAGCGAGGCATCTCGGGAGACGCGACGTCAGTTGGACTTGCTCGGGTGAAGCTGCTTGGGGCGTCGTCAACGCATTACAACTTGGCTGTTTTAGTTGCCCCTCCCCGCTCCCCCCAGGAGTTGAGTAAGCGGAGAGAGAAGGGAAATTTATTTCGACAGAGCTTGCGCACACACAACTTTCCGCCGTACTTCCGCGAAGCGGCGCTGCTTTCAAGTGCAGAGTGGCGTAACAACATTTGGTTTATTACAGCGAAGCTGTTAAGGGCTAATTTCCCCAGTTTTGTGTCCGGTACCAGACAAATGTCGACACAAAAATACACAAAACTCTGGACAGCTACCGCCATCTATGAGCGACGGCGGCAACCTTTCCAGCCTTTCCGTCAAGGTGCGCGATGGTCCGGTGGTTGCCGTCGTGTACATCCCCCCCCCCCGGCGACACCCAAGAGAGACGTTGAAGCATTCATGATGGACGTCTTCGGCTGGGTCATGCTCGGCGACGACCCGTCTGCCGTAGTGACGGGTGACTTTAATGTTGACATTGCATGCCAGGAGAGAAAGTGGTTCACCTTGTTTATGCTCGAGCGCTTCGGGCATGCGTGTGTGAACGAACCTACAGTGCCCACGACCAGGCATTGGACGTATATAGACCTAGTCTTCACAAAGAATGTGCCTGCCGTCAGCATACACCCTATGGCGGTGTACCACAGCGATCACAAGGCCATGGTCACTCTGGTTACGAAATAAATAACAATCCCGGATTGTTATATATATATGTCTGATTCTTTAATCATTCAAATAACCAATTACCCAATCACACCTTAATCCTCACATTTATAAATACTTCATTCCCACCATAGTACAGCTTTGCTGGTCTTCCTTCTTCACCTGAGTGGAAAGGCTGACAGTTTTTCCCTTTAAATAATGTTTTGGTGTCTTTTTGAGCAAAACATTTGTGTCTCCGTGGTGTGGCCAGAACGTGGTTGACAAATAGGCACTAGAATTTTGTTGCAGTATCCCTTTATTGTACTGGACATAATTGAGCATGCCCCATTTCGGTTTTTGCCCAGGATTTCCATTGTCACCTGACAGAGAGCGAAGTCGTCGGCTATTTGGGTGGCACCTGGGACATTGCTGCACACAGTGAGTTTTGTTGTAGAATTTCATTGTTATTTTAATGCTTGAGCCCCACACTATGAAGGGTGGTTGACTAACTGCAGAAGACTTTTGAAAAGGAGGTCAAGAATGGAAGAAATCTGAGACTGTTTGGCAAAGAAATTTTCACAATTGCTGGAGGGCTACTCATAAGAGGAATCTGGTAAACCATGAAATAACATTTCATTTCTTGATAGGTTATATTCACTGGCCACCATAGCTGCATACTTTACTGTCTTGTGCATGCTGCAGCAGGCTTTCACTGTGGCACAAGGCATCAAGTTCACACTTGTTTTTTCTGTTTTCTTGCATCCCTGTGCTCTACTTTCTCTACTACTACCCCCTCGCAAAGTGGTTTTGCCTTGTAGGAGCTCTACTCTGACTGAAGTGTCTCTTTTTATAAACAGTGACCATTGTACCACTGCTAGTCTTCAGAAGCAGATGATATGGGCTGATGCTCTTTGCTGCAGAGGGAGAACTAAATTGTCCCTATCACTGCTGATGTTCAACAGAAGTGTCATGTAGGCTGAGAGGTTTTTCTTGGAAAGTGCTTCTTAGGAAAAAATAAAGATAGGCAAGAGGGCTTTTGATGAAAATATCGGTCTCATTAAATATGAAAAGCCGGGCAGTTGGGCTATTAGTAACACTCACCGCTTTCATGTCTCGATTAAAAGTTTGACCTCGAAACTGATGAGGGTTCGCAGAGTGCGAAGTGAGCCTTTTCTGTGAAGTTGTAACGAATTCCATTCATATCATGCGAGGAACGCACAAGCTGCATTTACATGAATGCAACTTAAAGGGCCCCTGAAAAGAAGAAAACTTTTTTTCTTTTAAACAGTCTGGTTGGGACATGCGTGTCCCATGCGTGTCAAAAAAATAAAATTTTACGTGAAAAAAAAAAATTTTTTTAGAGCAATATTGACAGCGAAAGATTTATTTTAAATTCGGCGCGCAAAGTCCATGACTTCACGGAATGGTCATTTGGTCAACGAGATAGTCATTTTGTCTTTCCACCTCAACGTGAAGGCGTAGCCGATCCACCTTTCCTCCTCGTGCCCGAAATGCCGAGAGAGAAAACAAATGGAAAGGAGGTGACTACCGACTTACTCGCGTCTCGTGCCGTCAATATTGCTCTAAAAAAGTTTTTTCTTTTGCTTAAAATTAATTTTTTGAAATGCAGCTCCCAACCAGATTGTCTAAAAAGATTGTTTTCTTTTCAGGGGCCTTTTAAGTGCATGGACTCCATTTGTCGCATTCAATGCGGTCTTATAAACGGCATAATGCACTAGGGAAGAGCAATGCTCTCAAGCCGTTTGAAAGATTTGGATTGAGGAGACGAATACGCATTCATACGGCCCTTGTAAACAGGTTGCAGCACATTTTGGAACGGGGATTATGGGAAGGCGCTCGCTGCGGGATAGGGTAAACAGCTGAGAACATGGCGACGGCCAGTCTCATTGACGGCGGTGGGGAGCTGTACCGGACATAGTCTTGGATGTTCGCCCGTAATTTTCTCCCAAGAAGAAACGAAAGCTTTTCGTGCCATCATAAGTGAGCTGAATATAGCTGAGCTGCTTGGTGAGGGCGGCCCCCGTCCAGGCCTTGCGATTCATAACTTGTGCGTCGGAGGGAGTCCCTAGAGCAGTGGTTCTCAAATGGGGGTCCAGGAAAGCCTTAGACCGTCAGTCGAGCCAAGCACTAAAACTTTTTTTTAACTGATGTTGGCTGTCTCGCGAAGCTATTATAGACCCAACCGTGTGCACTGAGTGGATAGGGTTGATTATTTTCCATTTCAAAGCTTGAAAGTTGGTTTGCACACATTTAGTTCTCTTTATTTACCCTTTTGTCATTATAATCGTCCAATACCGTCCCCTTCCTACCGGTGGATTGGGATCCCCATCACTTCCACCAATCCAGAAGGGGTCCCCAAAGCATCAGTGACTGAGAACCACTGTTCTAAAAGGCTCCGGCACAAGCACGAACGGTGGAGAGAGCTCCGAGAAGTGGTACTGAAAAAGAAAAAAAAAAAGCAGCTTTACCTTACTGCTGTTCTTGCTTGTGCCGGAGCCTCTCGACCTTGGGGTCCGTCCATGGTTTGCACAGTCTGCCGAGGCACGGTGGTGTCCTGCGAACGATTGGAAACGGTCTCGCTCGCCAGGGCATGCGCACCCACATTACCTCTGTTCCCGAGTGGCCCCGGCCCGGAGCCCAAAGCGCTTGGGTTTTGATGTTTCTTGCACCTTGTGACTTCTTGTAGAACTCTGAAGGAACTCTGAAGACGGTGGGCATGATCGCTCGTCGAAAGGACCTCTGCATGCGAAGCACCGAAGGGCGTGATCATGTGGCGTGGCTGGTGCCAGAAATGCAGCCTTGACTTTGAGATGTTACACGGCGTGGTGCCACTTTCGCATTGAACTTGATGCGAATCCATGTAAATGTTAATGCATCGGCTTCATTCAAAAGATGGTTGGAGTTGATGCGCTTAAAAGGCGCCGTGCAACGATATTGGTTAGGAATGCCTCCGACTTTATACAAGCTTACTGGCACTAGTGGGACCTAAGAATACTCGAACGCAACGCCACTGACAAAAAGAAGCGTCTCCGTCGCAGTAGAATTCAAAAGATAAAAGCGGACATTTTCATTCAGTCTCTTCACAAAACTTGAAGGCGAAGTTGCGGGGACAACGCCAACAATGCGATTTAATGGATCGGCGCTTGGGCCTTCAAGTCGTCTTGGGGATAACTAGAGACCCTGTGTTTTCTTCCCCATAGACTGGATGTGTCATTGCCGGAACCGCACTCCTTCTTTGAACTAACCAAAATTTCTAACAGAACAACTGCGAATTACCGAGATGGAAAGGACCAATTTTCAGAAAGCCTGTTCCTTGACAGTGAAAACGGGGCTTAAATTTCAGTGCATATGAATTTCAGATCTTTCCATTCTTCAAGCATTCCCATGCCGAGCAAGGTTGGCTGACAAAGAGGCTGCACCAGGTATCGAAGAAGAGGTAAAATATGTTTCTTGTATATTCATGTTTGAACACTGTTTTGCAGTGAATGCAAAAGGATTAAGAATATGATTGTGCAAGTGTGGAGGCAAGCTGGTTCAATACTGACCCGGTAACCCAGGAGCGAGGGAAAAATGGGACGGGACAACAGAACGCTCGAAAGCTTTGTGTTGTCTGTCCAGTTTTTGCCCCGCTACTGGGTTACCATGTCAAGAATATGATGGTGGCCTTTATCTCGGTTTGCCAACTGTGGATTGAATCTAGCAGTGTTGCGGAATGAGCAGCCCCATTCCAACCCAACTACATTCTGGGAAATTGGAGTTTCCAATAATTCCATTCCTTTCAGCTCCTTCGGATGGAGACACTGTGCCCATTCCCATTCTTGGAATGGCTGAAGTGTTCCATTTAACTGCTCTAATTCCTTAACGTAAAAATGGCTCTTGACCGCTACCTTGTGTTACTGCAAAAGCAGTATAAAAGCTGACGTTGTCAAGCACAAAGACAACTGCAGAAATGTGCAAAATGTGTCCACAAAGCACTGATTCCATAAGCTGAGTGCGATCGAGCGTAAGGGCTCGCAAGAGACAACAAAAATTTACACCACCCATTTTCTTCACAAAGCCTTACGAGTATTTCCTCTACTATACGTGACCAGCATATTTGTTGGATGAAATCTTAAAAATGTCCAGCGCTTGTGAAGTCCACTGCGGTCCATCGTAAGGTGAAAGGGAGTACAGGCACTCGATAACACGACACTCGTTGGGGAATCAGCAAGCGGCCCAGTCTGTTGCAGATACATGAGCCACGGCAGTTTGAGCTCTGCGTGCGCCTCTGGGTGTAAAAGGCCCGCATCTGGAAAAAGGGTGGGTGGCGTGACTTTGTTGCTGCCTGGTGGCCTATGACTGGTGCTGTAATCAAGCATGATCTCAATGGCTACTCTGTCGCATCTCACGGTGCCGGGAACATCCTGTCCGTCTACGACAACGCTTTTTTGGTTGCTTTACGGGGGCACCATCTACATCCTCGAGGGAGCGTGAGCCACTCAGTGAATCGAGCCATCAGTCACGTTTGTACAGTGATGCTGTTTAAAGAGCCACTATGACCGTGCACTATATGTTGTGCCAGCTGTCCATAGGCCCTGGCAGAGGATCGGTTCAGCTTGCATGAGAATCCAGCACATTCTATTCGCAGTTCATTCCGGGTAAAAGGTCATCTAATTTCATTCCTCCCAATGCTGCCGCCATTCAATTTCCATTCCATTCCGGGGTCGCAGCAGTGTGGAATGATTCTGGAATTGTTCCAACTCTGGGGTGGGAACTCTGCAACATTGCCAACATTGGAATCTAGTACTATACTGCTTCATGAAGCACTACCCAACTGCGGCACCTTGTTCTTGGTGTTGGAGGCTTTCTAAACTAGTAGCCTGAAGCTGAGTTTTCAAGTTTAGTAGTGTTTCCAGGGATGAAGTCTCTACCATGTGGAGCTTTCAGGGATAGGTGTGAAGTAGGACTTCCTTTATTTAATTGCCAGTGTGCACCACATGTGGAAACTTCCGTCTGTCGCGGCTACAGGCTATCCAGCCGTACTACAGGCTATCCAGAATGCCGGACTGACACTGAAGCCTTCAAAATGTCGGTTCGCTTACGGTGAGCTCAAATTCCTGGGCCATGTCGTGAGTGCTCAAAGTGTAAGTCCTGACCCTGCGAAGACATCCGCTGTCGCCGAATTTCCGAAGCCATCAGACAAGAAAGTCGTACGAAGATTTCTTGGGCTGTGCGCTTACTATAGACGTTTCATTCGCGATTTTGCCAAGATTTCTGCACTGCTTACGCATCTGAGAAGGATAACGTAAGCTTCCAGTGGGGGTAGGAGCAAGAACAAACGTTCAACGAACTAAAGGAAAGACTTCAGTCACCCCCTATCCTCGGACACTTCGATCCATCAGCGAAAACGGAAGTTCACACGGACGCCAGCAACGACGGACTCGGCGCGGTACTCGTCCAGAGACAAGACGGCTCAGAGAGGGTGATCGCTTACGCAAGCCGGGCACTGTCCAAGGCAGAGAAAAATTACTTGACAACCGACAAGGAATGTGTCGCTGTCGTCTGGGCGTTAACCAAGTTTTGCCCATACCTGTACGGGATCCCGTTCCGCGTTGTCACGGACCACCACGCTCTCTGCTGGCTCGCCAACCTCAAGGACCCGTCGGGACGCCTCGCTCGCTGGAGCCTTCGACTGCAAGAATTCGACGTGACCATTGTGCACAAGTCTGGCCACAAGCATAATGACGCCGATTGTTTGTCTAGGGCCCCAGTCGAATCTCCTCTCGACAGCACCGACGACGATGATGCCGCCCGTTTTCTCGGAGCAATTACAGATACCGACATGGGAGCACTTCAACGAGACGACCCCGAACTTCGCGCCGTGATCGACCACCTCGAAGGTCAAGGAAGCTCAGTTCCGCAAGTCTTGGCCCGAGACTTGCCAAGCTCCGTTCTGCGGCGAGGCACAAGAAGAACTTCGGAACGAGCAACCCTGCCTGGCTGCTGGTTGTTCCGGCCAGCCTGCGAGAAGAAATCTTTCAAGCATGCCATGACGACCCGACGGCTGGACACCTTGGTTACAGCAGGACGCTCGCCCGGATTCGTGACAAGTATTACTGGCCGAGACTCCCGAAAACAGTCCACCTGTACACACGGTCGTGCCATGAGTGCCAACGACGTAAGAAGCCTCCGACGAAGCCAGCAGGACTCCTGCAGCCGATACCTGCACCGACTACGCCCTTCCAGCAGGTCAGAATGGATTTACTTGGGCCGTTCCCAACATCGACGCAAGGAAATCGGTGGATTATCGTCGCGACCAATTTTCATCTGAACGAAAGCCCTGCCATTGGGAACAGCGGTAGAAGTCGCCAAGTTTTTTGTCGAGTCTATTCTCCTTCGACACGGCGCACCTGAAGTGCTGATCACAGATCGCGGGTCATCCTTCATGGCACAGCTGGCTCAAGAAGTTCTTCGGCTCAGTCATACCAGCCATCGACGAACAACCGCTTATCATCCGCAGACCAACGGGCTAACGGAGCGGCTCAACAAGACGATCGCCAACATGATTTCCATGTACGTCAACGTAGAGCACAAAACATGGGACGAGGTGTTGCCGTACGTCACGTTTGCGTACAACACAGCGGTGCAAGAAACCATGGGAATGACACCGTTCCAACTGGTACACGGCCGGACGTTACCACAATGTTCGACGCCATGCTGCCTCACGTGCCGGCTGACGATAGCAACCACGATGCACAACTGATCTCGCAACGCGCGGAAGAAGCTCGCCAACTGGCAAGAATCAAGATTCATGACCAACAGCAAGTCGACGCACGCCGCTATAACCTTCGTCGCCGGGACATCCACTTTCAACCCGGAGACCGGGTGTGGGTGTGGACGCCCATCCGTCGCCGCGGCCTCAGTGAGAAACTGCTCAAACGGTACCTTGGACCATACAAGGTACTTCGTCGCCTCGGCGAGCTGAACTACGAGGTGATGCCCGACGAAACACGAACATCGTCACGCCGCCCACCACGACCTGAGGTCGTCCACATCGTGCGCCTGAAGCCGTACTACGCTCGATAGGACTGTGGACCTTATGTGCTCCAAAGGACTATTTAGTTTATCATTCTTTTTTATTTTGTTTGTCTTGCGTTGCATCGGGGTGATGCACTTTTTAAAGGGGGGAGTAATGCGCATAGGCAGCGTGCGCGTGGCCTAACGGTTATCGTACCTGGCTCCCATGCGAATAGCCAGGGTTCAAGTCCTGGAAGCGCCACATCTTTTGTTATTCCTGCAATTTAGTTTTTTTGGTAGATTCGAGAATCATGTTGCGTGTTCGAGGCCCGAATGTTCTACGCGTCGAACATTCTACGCCGATTATTCCAGAAGCTCACGCATGTACATAAGGAGCGCCGCATGGCGAATCGGACTCAGTCTCGCCCCAGCGCTCGATCCTGCGGTTTCGCCGACATCGACGCCCGCGACGCTCTCCTGCTTTCTTCTGTTTCCTTTTCCTTTCATTAATTTGGGCACAAGTTCGCCCCATTAAACGTTTAGTTTACTTCAGTTTTCGTCGCCTCATCACTTGTCATCCGTGACAATATGAACAGCGATGTCCGGCTTGCACGCGATGTCCGGCTTACATTCTTTCCGTGGCGCCTAGGCCATTCAACAACTTCGACTTTCCTAGCGACCGTATACAAGTGCGTTGTCCAAACAAGCGAACTGAGCGAACGCAAGCAATGCAGCGAGATGAACATGGAACTAACCGAACCACCGAACAACAAGCGTAAGCGGAGGGGCAGAGGCACACGGGCACACGGCACGTGTGCAGCACACGCGCTAAGCTCTGCGGCTTTCCATTCGGTAGATCCTCCTTTCCGACGTTGTGTATCTTCACTGCTTCACTCTTGCCACCGTGCCCTTGCCTCCCTTCCTTTGTACACCAGCTCGCCTGTATCTTTTGTTATTTCTGCCATTTGACCTCGATTCCCGCGGCGCCGGAGTGTTGCCATGTTGCGCCTATGCCCTTCGCCCGATTTCTGCGGCGCCCTTCGCCCCCTTCGCCCACGCTGTCGTGACTCATAACTTGTGCCGGTCGCTTCAACTTCAGGAGATAACGGCCGTCTGCAGCGACTGGGTGCTTGCCATGTCCTTTGCATATTTTTTGAAATTTGCCTAAAATGGGGGGTGGGTGGTTGATGTGTCCTGTGTTTGTTTTTGAAATCGTTCAAAAATAGGGGGTGGGCCCTTAATGTGACATGGGCCCATGCTCGGTATTTTACGGTAAGTTGCAGTTGAGATGCGGGCACCAAAATTCTTTACACATGATTAGGAAATAAATGAAGAAATGAAGAGATCTTGTACACGAGAGAAAAATCATTATATAATGCAAAGTCGATGTGAACAGACTAGAGCATTAGCAGACAAAACATGGCAAAAAGCAAGGTCAAGCCTCAAAAATTAACACTTTTCTATTTGTTTTGGTTTGACATGGCTATAATTAACACTTATCTTCTATTAAGTTTTGTTTGAGACGAGTATGATTCATTTCCGTAAGCTGCTCACTGACACTTTGTTAAAGGAGCTGTGCAACAATTTCAGTGCTTTGCTTAAATAATTTGGGAGTTGGTGTCTCAACTTTTCTGAAGTAAAGAACAAAAAACCGCTTTTGCCTGCATGTCTTAGTTTTTATTTTAAAAAATGACTAAGATTGAGGTTTTCGGCATTTCTCAACTCCTTCACCATCTTCTGAATCACGTGCGCTGTGACGTGAAAAGGACGCGCAGGGTTCCGGTGAAGCTCTCTCTCTAGAGGCATCAGTGAGCAGCGAGAACTCACCCCCTCGCGACCACGTGACCATGTGCTTGCGCAGCGCGATCAACATGGCAAAAGAAGGAAAGTGCCAACGTCCCGGTCCGGCCATCCCCGTCTGGCTCTGCCCCTGTCTCCCTCTGGCTTCTGGCGGCTGTTCGTGGTAGCAGATAGAGCTGACGGTTTTGTTGACCTCGGATAGATGGCGTCACTAAAACTCCGTACGATGAAAGTTTTGTCGATAATATCAGGTTTTTGACGCATTTGTGTTTATTTTAGACGACAAGATTTATAGAAAAATTACCTTTTATCGAGCAGGTATTTGCACAACTTGCTATCTTTCTACAAGTCCCTCATTGATGTCTTGCCGTGTGGTTCTCATGGCTGCTGCTCACAGCTGCAGGTCGGAAAATATTCTAATTTTTGCCTCGCGATTGCGCAACAGAATCGCAAAATTTTGAAGGAAGGAGATATATTTTCTGTCCTTTGTGACAAGATCAACAATGTCAAAAGTAGAAGATGCAAATTCTTTCAATGTTAAAATTGTTGCACAGCTCCTTTAAGTTTTATATTTCTCTACTGAACTGATTCAGTGAGTTCCCAGAAAATGACTGCTACTGTTCAGAGTGGAACAGCAAGGAAACTGTTTGCTTTATAAACCAACTCAACTCTCGGACATCATGCCCTTGCAGTGGCGTGCGCATGCGCAGATACTCCACCTCTGGAAAATCTGGTTTTCGCGCAGTGCCCACACTCAGTGTGGGCGAATTCGGGCTTGTTTATAAACAGTGTTTTGGTCTATTGCTTCAAGGTAGGGGAAAGTGGTTTCCTCCTCATGCCCACCTTGGATGATAAGGAAGGGTGAAAAGAACTCATGCCTCTTTTTTCTTTTCTTTTTTTTTATGAAACTAGGGCACTTAGACCAATCAATCTTACATGCTTCTTTTTTTTTTTTTTTTTTACTGGATCTTATTGAGTTAGTGTTCCATTTGAAGAAAGTTTAAGCCCTGTTTCATACGAAATTAATCTCAATTCTCCCATAGCAGGCTTGCATGGCTAAGCTCTCGTGCATCATTCAGGCCATGAGGATTGGGTATACACCAACGTATGTTTACAAACAAACCGGAGCGCCCCTAGCGGACGCCACCGGCGCCGCGCTTGCGCGATGGAGTGTGGGCAAGAGGGTCACTGTCGCCCACAAACAAACCATTGAAATGCGAGGTTGTCGGCGTCGGCGCGAGTCCCCCTGCCCTTTTTCGCATTCAAATTGTTGATTCTACGTCTTCCTGTGAAATTACCGAGGCTCGTTACACTGCAAAATTTAGCGTGAATAATGTGACATGCCATTCCGCGTGGACGCTGCAGAATGTACGCTAAAGCCTGATTCGCATGATGAGATTTCGCTTGCAATTTTCAGTCGCGACGTCGCTCGGGCTGCAAAAGCGTGAACCGTAGCTGAGATGGTAGACGTTGATACTGAAAATCGCAAGCAGAATCGGACCGAGTGAATCAGGCATAACAAGTCGGTGATGGCCACTGGTAACAACAATCAACACCTCCCTGTATCTGCTGTTTACATTGAGCCTGCTTACCAACCTCCAAGCTTAAGTCTTTTGAGGCCTGTACTTACGTCTTATCGCAAGTACCAGGCCAACGTTTGCTTTACGGGTCGGTGTTGTCTAAAACAGCAGACGACAAGCAGAAACGTTTGAAAGAGCAGACGACAGTTCGAACCATCAGGCGGCGGTTCGAACTTAAAGACGCACTGAACGGAGTTCGCAGGTGGTCCGTACAATTTAACGGTTTTCCAGTGTTCATGTTGGAACAAAACAAATAAATCTGATGACCACAAGTATCCGTGAATTCAATCCAAAGTGCTTCCCGCCCAAGCAATCGTGGTTTGACGGCGTCTGGTTTTGCATTTTCACGGCTCATATCCATGTTCTCGGACGAACTGAGCTCATGAAAACTGATCTTCAAACCTTTCTCAACTTATTTGGTACAGCCCGAGTCGCGGCGTTTTGAGGAAAAGGCAGGTTTTTGTCAAGTTCCTTTCAAAACAACGCAGGAATACACGTCTCACATAAGGACTTCGCCCACAGCCCCGTACCGGAAGTGCACCCGACGTGCCACCACTGCGCCGTGACGTAACGGAGATGAGTTCATGTATACTTTGGGAATCTTTTGATACTTCGGAGAATGCCTAGTTTTCTTGAAACCGAATTTAAGTTATTCTCCAATAAATGCCCTAGTTTCAAGACATTTTATGTACCTCACCGTAAACGCAGTAAAGGAGGATTGAAATGACGGCAGGAGCAGCATGCGGTTTTCTTAGTCGCGCGTTTTGTGAAGACCAGTTTCATCTTGATAATGACTAGACCACAAATTATTGCTTCTTTTGTGTTGTTGCTTGACAAATATTTTTCACTGACTTTCTAGATTCGGGAATCCCTTGAACAGCGGCATTTGACGGTGGTAGGCTGGTACCACAGTCATCCCAGGGCACCACCTCAGCCGAGCCTGCGGGACTGCAACTGCCAGCTCGACTACCAGATCACCATGAAGGGAGAAAGTGACTCCTCATATACCCCTTGTGTTGGCCTCATATGCTGTACGTACCTTTGGCTACAATGCATTTCTAGATTACAGTTCGTCCAATGTGGTACGAGCGTGAAGTACAGTCATGTCTTGTCAATATGGAATTTTCGGGGACTGATCTTTCGCCGCGCAATTCTGCCCCGTTAATGTGGAAACCTGCAGCCTGGACTATGGACAGCTATTTTAGGGACAAATTGGGTAAACACAGGTATTTTTGTCTCGTTAATATGGATGCCAGTACCCCTGTTTAAAAAAAAAAGGTCGCGGTTTGCACTTGGTTGTTTGTTGCCGGTCTTGCAATAAAAGCTGTGCACTGAAAGGTGATTTTTTTTTTTTTCCTTTCAGATAAAATGGGTTATTATTGCTTGCAGCCTATTGTTGCTTGAGAGTATGTATGGAGTACAACTGGGAGCAAATAAGGATGAACCCTAAAGAAGCTAGGCCCTCTCACTGTAGAACTTGTCACTGTTTGGGGAATGGGGGAGAAGCTTTGTACCCACAAAGTTAATTTCTGCTAGATAAAGCTATGGCGGAGGATGGGGAAATTCTTATCCTCGAAGTGGTTCATAGCGAAGGCCCCCTTAGATCATAAGTCTGTCATTGACTTAAAAGGCCAGGCCGGACACTTCTCTGGTCACTTGGAAGGCAGAGTAGACGATATCAAGTGAGAAGTAGTCAGAGACCATGGTGAGTGTCGAATGTGAACAAACAAAATTCTGCACAACTGAAAAAAAATTTTCAGTTGAGCAGGAAAGAAAGAAAAAAGTAACTCGAAGAAAACTCTGCGCTGACAACGGTATCTGATGAAGATGAGACCAACTGTAACTCGACAAGCAGCTTGTTGTGGCTTGGAAACGGCTGTCTCTTACCTTGAGCAGGAAGGACAGGGAGAATGCGCACTTCAAGTAGTGGACGTGTTTCCCTTTCTGGACACAAAAGTAGGCTTGAAAGTGTCTGTAAAAACCCACAGCTTGTTTTTTTTTAAGCTAAATAAACCATCTATTTCTTGTTGCTACGTTGGTATCTATGTGTTTTTTTTACTCTGATTTGTTATTATGGACTGTAGTGGTCATGGATGGCCACTATGAAAGGGTGTGGAGGAACATCTAATGCTAAGGAAAGGCCAGAGCCTCGGAAGGCCTGTGAGGAAATTGGAAGGCTTACGTGGCATGGCGCATGGGACATGAAGTCAGTGGCCGGGGACCAAGCGGGTTCACCGAGAAATTGAAGACACGTCGGATCTGCTTGGAGTGGGAATGGGGTTCTATTTACAATATATAGATGCATCCAGAGACGGCGGGTGCCGCTGTCGGGCACATGGCTTCATTTCGTTGTAACAACACATGCTATAACTGGAAGTGCCATCTAAAGTATGGATGGCATACTACAATACTACATAGACAATTCACACTATGGTCAATTTTTCTGAGGCATGGAGGTGTCCATATTAACGAGACATGACTGTATCCCAATTGTAAGACCAGATTGTTGTTTCCAGTTGACAGGAAGACAAGTCAGCATGCATTCAGTGCTTAGTCGTTTCCACTCTTGGAATCGGCACAGCATGCTAGAATGTTATCACAATGTTCAAACACTTCAGTGTTCCACGTAGTGTGCTGGAAACTCGCAGTTCATTTGACATGGCAGACAAAGTTCTGCTCAGTATTTGCATAATTATGATTTTCATAATTATTTTTATTATAACATTTTTTGCTACTCGAAACATTATGATGAGCATAAAATGTTATGGTGAGAATATTTGTGAAAATCATAATTAATAAAAAAATACTGTTCGTTTTAAAATTGTTCTTTTAGTCCTAGAATACAAAGATTTCTGTTACTCAAGTGCAAATATTTTGGTACAATTTTTCTTTAACTGCAGGATTCCTTTTAGAAGGGATTCTGACAAAAATTTTAAACCATTACATAATGTTGTTTTTTTGGGGAGGGGGTGCATACTTCTTGGAATCGGTAAAACTAGCAAGGTTTGCGTCTTCTGAATTGTTTTTAAAAAAGCAGTTTAACTGAAGGCATGCAAGGTATCCAAAAGGTTCCACGTGGCTGCTTGTACAACTGGAGTTCTCAGAGTTATGCTCATGTCCACGAGTTTGGTGGCATTGTGCTCAATGTATCCCTTTCTTTCATAATGTAATATTTAGTTGACCTATGCTTTCACTTGCCTCAGTTGTACCACCCTGCAACATTAGTTTGTGACACTGTTATCAAATCTTTGGAATGGAGCTATGTATAATGTGTGACATATTTTGCCACAGAACATTTTCCGTCATGACTTGTGACATGGAAAGACCTAAAATAATACTCGGGATCAACTTTCTATGGCAATGAAGAGAAAGCCAGGGGGGCAGAGCTAACGGCTCTGTGTTGTTGCACCAAGTCGTTCCGGCCTTTTTTTTATTTTAGTTTAAAGATTGTGGTTGAGGGTGCCGAACCGTGATCTCCGAATCCACGTCTCTTTCCCTATGTTTCACCCGTTTCTAAACACAAGTCAGTAGTTTAGCTGAAGCGCTCGGACCAACTTGCGAGGTAAATTACACCGTGGTCAATCTCGTCAAATTCTTTTTTTTTTTGCGACCGATGCAGACATGCGGCGTTGATTTAAGAAATGCCATGAATTTCATCGGTGCTGCAGCATTGAGCTCATTGATACGTGAACTCTTCTGGTGCTAAAAAATCGGCATGCGGGCGCTATATATTGAAATAGAAGCACACAGATGCTATGGTGCAAAGTCAAATCCCATTTGGATTGCATTAAGTTACTGACAGCCATAGGGTGGGTCGGTGGTGCACCGCAGCTTGGAACACGTCATATAGTGAAAGCCCATGCTGTAGAACCCAGGAATCCTGGGCTCTGCAGTGCACGCTCGGTTTGTTTTGGCATCTTTTGGTTGCCAAACCTGCGACAATCCTACGGGGTGAACAAAGGGGGTGAGCTTACGGAAGGGGATGTTGCACACGAGAAAGACACCACGTTTGTTCTGCAGGGAACTAGAAAACCTGTGGTGAACTTAAACCAAGAAAACCCGAAGGAGCCAAAAGAGAAATTTACATGAGTTTGGAATATTCTGACTAACATTATAGTGAAATAGAAGCTAAAAGAGCAATTTTATATCTTTTAATTGGTTCAATTACACTCGGCAAATTATTTTGCTTGAACTATATTCAGCTGTACAGTCAAAGGCGTGCTTCAGCTCCGTAGCCTTGGCTGCATTGCCACAAAAAGTTTACCCCAAGTGTAGGGATATGCAAATAGTGGTTTCAATTGAATAGTGCTGGTTCCTTTGTTAGCCTTCACAGTGCAAGGAAAGCCCGAACAACTGGCCGACGCAAAGGCAGCTCTTTCTGCCAGGCAGAAAACCCCTTTCCGTGGTCCTTCTCCATTCCCGCTATTCCCTCCACCTCGCCCGAAGTAGCAGGTCTGGGAGCTACACCCCGCAAAAAGAAGCAGTTTCTTTTTTTCTGGGAAGGAAAGAGGGATTCAGAAGTGCTTTACTCTTCCTACTTGTTTCTCAACCTTTAAAAATGTGTAAGCTGGCGATGACACTGCACTGTTCAATTTGAACCATATTCACACACCCCTACTCAAAACGCGTACTTGTCGGGCATAGCCGAGCATAGAGCTCAACCGACCTGTAGTAAGCACTAAGCTGATTACGAACCACAGGGTAATGAATATAGTCAGGTTTGGCAAATCAGCATGATAATACTACAGTAAATCCTTGCTAAAACGTTTTTCAAAAAACCACAATAAAAAAAAAATTGTGATCTAGGAAAACATAACAACCAATAATGCTTTTGGTGGCCAATATGAGACAAGAACCAATCTTCTTACAACACTGTATTTCATGTGGGCTTTCATGGCTATGAAGAACTACCATATTTATTCAAAAACACATCCTTTATTTATTTTTTTTGGAAGTGTTATTTAAAATTGGAAGTTAATCTATAATTGCGACCAAAGAATGTTGCCTCTGTAGAAATTAGAGATGTAACAAAGATTATACTGACGAGCTGGTGAACTTTTAACGTCTTAAAAACCCTAGACCAAGGAACAAATAAGGCGTGGCACTGCCCTACTATCCGTTGGTTGATTATCAGTTTTTAGGAGATTCTCTCTTGCTCAATTGTTGATGAAGGTTTTGTGGAACTAGATCATCGGATAGGCAGCATTAGTACTAACTTTAAAGTTGCTAGTAGATTCGCACTGTCAGATTTCATTTCCATTAGCCTTTAAATGTAAGCTAAAAGTTTTCTTTTGTGTCGCCTTAATGCTACAATGTAATCTGCATGTGATGTACTGTGTAATTGTTTGCAGTGTAAGCAACTGTGTTGCATAAGGGCTCTGCATTATCCTACTCATATGCATATTTATTTTGCAATATCTTTTCCTATTTGTAGCTCCTTATGTAAAGGATGAGTCCTGTGTCGATGCTAAATACCTCGCTTACTGGGTTATGCCTCCACCAGAGGTAAGTCTACTCTCATTGCTTATCTGCATAAACTGATTTTGATTGAATTCAGTTTGTGGTCACTAAAGCATTTGCGGCTTGAAATGTTGGTTTTGGTTATGACTTGGTACCACATTTTTCCAGTCTTTGACCTGTGCTGCCTTTAGCTTCAATGTCAAAATCATTGATAACTTTTACAGAAGGTTCCATTATTGAAAAAGTGTAGAAGGTGCGAAAGAAACTTTGTGTCGTACAGTATTGAGCAGCAGAAGCTGGAAGGCATTTTTAGAGCTTTTTGATTGTGCCCTGTGTTGTGGGTGCACCTCCATCACTGCACTTGTCATATTTTGAGATTTTTAAATGATACTAGATGCTACTTTTTAAATATGTAAAGTATACCAGACTAATGAAACATTTGACATTATTAAAGTGGGAATGAAAGTTTCCTTACTAATGTATGTGCAGAACATAAATAATTGCTCTGTTAACACAGAATGTATTATATGGCTGGTTCCTAGCAGTTTCCTGCGACACATTTCATTGTAACACACTCCGGTAACAGAATGGTAATGGAGAGGATGGAGTGCCTTTTCTGCATAATAACTAATTGTTGTTTTACAGAGTGACATTTATAGGTGTATGAAACAAATGGCTGTCTAAATGAACAAATTTGGTTTCAGCATCGTCCAAATGAGTATGGGAAGCCAATGCAGATGATGTACAATGTGGCCCAGGATTCCTTCCTTACACAAGACCTTCTGATGGAAATGGTAGGTTTTTTCAGAACTTCAACCACAACAGTCAAATTTTGTATGAACCTCCTTTCCGAAAATTTGCCTGCCTAGTAATGTTTATTACTATATAGTCAGTGGCAGGCGAAGGATGCAGAACAGGCTCCACCCACAGGTTTAATATGCTCACTTCAAATCTCTCCACTGTTGAGAAAATAGTGTGTCGTCTGCTCCGCAATAGCATTAAAGCAAGCAGAAGGAGTGAAGTTGGTAATGTTCGTTGCTGATTGAGCTAGACGACATCATCGCAAGGCATTAGATTCTGACATTGTCGCACAGAAACTACTGCAAACAAAATAGGACACTGCCATACCGCCACGTTTTTGCAACAAACTTGAGTGAGAGGTCAGCAGCAAACAAATTAAGAGAAGCCATCGGCACTGACAACCTGTGTTGAGAGTAGCCTCGGTGGTCTGTGTGTTGAGAGTAGCCTTATTTGCTCACTCTATACAGAATTGTTGAAGGGTGCCCATAGTGCTCATAGAGTTTCAGGTTTTTTTCTGTAAAATGGGTACTTGTGGGAAATGTACTACCGTAATATCCCGAGAGATAGCCCACCTAAAATCGCTAGCAAATCAGATCAATATAAGAAATGGCTAACTTTCGGTATGCCATAAAAAAAAAAAAAAAAAGTTAAGAAAATTTTTGTTTTCGATTTTGGGACCCTCAAAACGTGTAATCACGTGAACGGGCGATGAACTGAACCAAAGGCTACTGTCCTTCCCAGTCAGCAATGTTTGCTTATCTCCCACTGTGGTTAAGTAACACCGTTTTTACTGAGGTCACCATTGGTCAGGGCCCTGCAATTACTAGAAGTGGGCTATTTTTCGGTGTTTCAAAAAAATAGCAAATCATACCAAAAATAGAGGTAGGCTATCTTTCGGGGGTGGGGCATGTCTCGGGATATTACGCTACACAAATTAGTACTTAAAAAAATTGGTTGACAAAAAAAATTATTGTCAACAAAAAAAAAAAAAAAATCATTTTTCGTTTACATTGTGCAAAGAAATCAAAGCGATGGCTCTAGCACGGTCTCGCGATGCGGGTGAAATGGTGCCGTTACATTCGTGAGGACGGCGGTGCGACGTGGTTAATTCTCATTGCCGTCGTGGTTAGCGTCGTAGATGCCACTGATGACCGCCACGAGTGCTGTGTGATTCTTGATCTGGGTAAGGGCGGTGGTAGTTTCTAAAAGCATCCAACATTACGCGCAGCAACTGGATACTGTCAAAGTGAGATTTTGTATAGGGCGAGTAATGTTTGAAAACATGCGTTTGAAGCAGACAACAGGAAGACTCTCCCTTCGTCATGCCGTTACTGGCGAGACGTTGGGGCTCCCCTCCTTTCTCGCTTCGCGCAGCGTGGCTGACGGGAAGACCCAGCTTCCCTGGCCTCCTGTCAAGAGGGGAGAGAAGAAGGGTTTGTCTATAGCGGCAACGACAACCGACTGCCTTAAAATCTCTGGAAAGTGTCGCCCGAAAAGCTGTCGCTTTAAAATTGCTTTTTTTTTTTTTTATTTGAAACATACAGTGGAATTTTGTTGACAACTTTCTTGGTTTTTGTGTATTCCCGGCTTCTACATTCAGAAGCGCCGGTCCTGCTGAGCTCCCATAGGAACACACATATTAATTTACTGCTTAGTGCGTTTGCTTTCCCAGTTACTTTCAAAGAGCCGCCGACATAGTGCCGATGACACCGGCCAATTTTCGCGACTGACTGATTCGCAGACGAACTGATCATGTGACGACACATTCGCGGGTTGTCCACTTCCCAGACTCGTTCACACGGAGGGGGAGACGAGGGACAACGGGGGTCGACCAAACCACTTGATGACTGCACAGTGGCACTGTCGTTACAGTTGCGGCGCTATCACATTATACAAAAAAGAATTGTTGTGCGTTACATGCCGCGCGACAAAGTAAACCGCGAGTTGCTTAGCGCGAAATGCCACTACCTTTACTGACCCAAGGCAAGTGAGGTCCTGCTCAAGGAGGGTCGGAGTAGAAGCGGCGGAGTCCTGGGCTTGCGAAGGGGTGGTTTCCCATGTTCTCATCCCCACACACTCGTGCTCAACACTTCAATACATGCAAAAAGGTCTTGCCCAACCTCGTTGGGTCTTGGTCTTGTCAAATGAGAGTCTGGATGGATGTGTAGGACAGGGCGCGGTGTGCTAGACGAATTTTGACGGAAACTTCTTGACACGGACCTGGAGGAGCACCAGAATCTGCAGTGTGTCAGCCGTTAACAGTTCCCGCGGCTTTCTACATGTGGGGAACCAAGAATCGCACTACAAAACAAACCAGCGAACAAACACAAGGAAACGATGCATGATAAAAAAAAAGTGTGTCGTTGCCAGACAAAACACTTTTCTTATCAACCCCCGTCGAAAAGCACTTGAAAAGTGCTGATCAAAAAAGCCGAGATTCTTTTCACTCACGGATTTTTATACTTCAAAACATATCTAATCTGGAAAAAAAAGAAATGTTTTTTTTTTTTTCTTTTTCGTTTTTTTTTTTTTTTTAACAAGCAACGCAAATATAGTGCATCATTGTGCTTTGTTTTGTTTTTGTTTATTTGCTGGTCTGTGTTGTTTGTATGGTTCTTGGTCCTACACGCACCACACGTCAGAGAGCTGCAGGAACTTCACCCAGCTGACGCACTGCAGGTTCTGGTACTCCTCCAGTGCTGCGTAAAGAAGCTTGTATCAAAACTCCCCTAGCACGCCTTAATCTCTCCTGCTCATGTTCTACAGCATGTCATACAGCAAGACCGCTTTTGCGGCTTTGGGGTGTACTGAAGGGTTGTGCACAATTGGCTCCGGGACGAACCAACAAGGACATCGGCAGACGCCCACCACAAGCCCAGGACTCCGTCGCTCGCCTGCGTTTCAGTCATCCAAAGTGTCGGGTTCACACCAACAAATGTTTACAAACTTTTTTTTTTTACATATTTGAGATCACATCTGCATGCTCTTACAGTACATTTCTTTAAGTTTACACCTACGGATGTTTACAAACTTTTTGAGCCAATTTGAGTTTACACCCACGAATGTTTGCATTAAATAAATTGTTTCACGACAGTTGCTATCTGCCTGATCTATAGCACCCTCCCCGAATGTTTTTCCCGGATCATACATTTTATTTCTCCTGTCCCCTGATAAACATATCAACGGTGTTCTACTACTGTATATGTTTTGATAACATAACTATTAAATACACATACATATATCTTAACTCACTGCATAAAGGGAAAATTAGTAACATTTTGCAAAGAGCCAAACTTTTTTACTGTCGTTCTTGAGGTTCAAACGGGTATTGGCGACGAGAAGTTTAGGTGGTGCCACCTTGAGGGTGCTCTCCTGTGACAGAGCAGGTAGGATGCGAGCAAACGATGCACTCTGTAATAGCACGGAGTGTCTATGTTAGTTTGCATTTATGCCGATTAAAAACGGTTTATTTGTTAAAGAATTGTGTATGATGTGTTTATGAGTGACCTTTCAATAACAGCACCTCGAAGTTGCTTTTTATATTAAAAAAACCTGAAAATGTTCAAAAACAAGTCTGGAGCTTCACATTACAGCTTGCGCAGCGTGCGTCAGGGCTATTCATAGCCTCTCTGATGCTTGTTTTTTCGGATCTGTGGAGGCTCCTGTAGAAAAAGGTTTTGCATCCACCAGAGTAAATGACGTGCTTTTGTCTTAGCTGTGCATGCCGCACAGTTGTGTTGCAAAGAGCCGCACGCTTGTTTTAGCTACATTGAGCTTGCCGATATGGACGCTTCTATCCAAGTATGACTCGACAATTGCCGACGACCAAACGCTCCTCAGCAACTGACGTTTAGCCCCTCCCATATTGAGTATGTGACAAACAAGTTTGTCACCTTGCGACTTCTGCTCGAAAGAAAAGCAGAAATTTTCATTACTTCTTAAGTTGTCGGCAATGGCCCGGCAATTCTTTGGGTCTGCAAAATTAATCATTTATGCAGTAGTAACTCTTTCATTACCATGGGAAAATGGCCATTTCTTAAAGGTCTCAGAAAACAAAATGTTTACCACCACAAAAAATATCTTGGCACATATTGCAGCACAGCAAATTGTAGACAACTAAATGATGTTTCCAAAAATGCAAGTTGCAAAGCAAAAATCTTTATTAAGGGGGGACACTACCCAGAGAAAAATATTTCTGCAAAAAACGTTGATTAGGAAAAATTGCATATTTACATCCACCAACAGCTAGCAAGTATTTTCAGAAATTTTCACTAGTTTACACTGGATAGTTAATTTTTTATCAATTATTTTCTGTCCACCGAAGCTAAAGAAAAGATGGGGTTTGGAGCACTTTGAACATATTTTTCTCCTTTCCACTTTTTGGTATAAATTTCATTTTAGTCAACCTATCGTTTGATAATGGCAATACAGGGAAGGCTCGTTCTTCACTTTTCCTGACTGAAATTTAATAAGGAATGCGGCTATGGAAAATTATTGTGTAGGAAAATTAACTGCTCAACACGGAAAGTGAGCGCTCTCTGTGCCGTGACAACATTTCCGCCAGTAGAAAGACCCTTTCACTCGAGAAACCTGCAAAATTTCACTACAGTTTGAAGAAGTTCGACTTACGGACATTGTTGCCCGGCTTCTACACAAATATTTTGTATTTTGGGAAACAAATAATTTAGTAAGTAGTTTATTTTATATTTTATAAAATGGTTACCAATGTTTACACCATATTAAAGTGAAAATATGCGCTTTTATTGCTTTCATTAGTTATTAATGTGAACCAGTGATGCCAATAAACCCAACAAATGTTGCACTTTTCCACGCCAAATAAAATCAAGTTTTTTTTTTTTTCCTTTTTTTTTTTTGTTTTTTTTTTTTTTGCGCATGCGCACAAAAGTTGAACTTCAGTCGAACCCTTGTCGAACATCACGTTGAAAGTTTGAAAAGGTCTAACTTGGTCAACCTTGAACCTGGGCAGGTTCGCGACATCCCTAGTTTTGACTAAGGATGTCATGAACCGGTCGAGGTTCGAGTTCGGCCAGGTTCGACTCTTTTGAACTTCTTGTGAAAAGTTTGGCAAAGGTTCGACTCAAATTCGATTGCTATGCGCATGCACGACAGGCTGGCCAGTTGGCTTTGGATTGGATGGTGATGGCTAAGGGATCAATTTAGGGCAGCACTGATTGGTTATTTCATTTAATACAGTAAAAAAAAATTAAGTTATTAACTTCTTCAGTTATTAGAATTAGTTTCTTTTAATTGCAACTGTTCATAAAATTAAAATAACCCTTTTCATGAAAAAAAATTCTCCAAACCTACACATGCTTGTATCAAGGTCTGTCCACCACACTGTCCACAAAGTCGAACCGGTCTCGAATCTGGTTAAAAGTTCAAAGGTTCGTCAAACTGGTTCGCACCAGTTGAACCCCGAAAGTTTGACCTAAAAATCCGGTTCGAAAAAAGTTTGCGACACCTCTAGTTTTGACTGCGCGGGAGTGGCGGGAGTTGTTGTTGATGGCGATGCAATGTTCTGCTCACACCTAGCTTTTTCTTTTTTAATTTTCAAACATTGATATTAGATAACACCCTAGAGATTTATTTTATATATATATATTTCAGTCTCGAGGTTTATTTTATTGTACCAATTTATAGAACGCGCAATTACATCACATAGTGCTATAAAAGTGCCACACTACAAAGGGCTTGGTGAAAAAGAAACCGAAACTGATCCTATCTTGCTGCCTTCGGACAGATAGAAATGGAGCAGACCGATAACGCAAGCATCATACGCCTTTCTCAGTGAATAAACATATTCATAGGAGCATGCTTGGCAGGCAGATTATTCATTACTTGCTCGAATATTCGCAGTTTGTGCCAATATTTGCCGTTTTTCACGAATATGCAATTTTCAAATCGAACATGTTTTGAATAAGGAAAATATCCTATTCGTATTCGAAATTTCTAATATTCGCAAACCTCTAGAATATATATGTAGAAAATAAATAAACCAAAAACACTTTCTAAAAACGTTCGGCCTTTCCACTCTCGTGAAAAAGGAAGACCAGCGGAGCTGGTACTCGATACACTGCCGCAACGCGCACGCGCCCGTTTCCCGCTTCTTCTTGTCCGACACGCCGCCGATCGTGGATACGTCTCCCGGCGGCCCAGAGTCGGTCGCACTCGGCGCACGTGACGCTAAACGGTTAATCCACGAACTTCTTCCGGAACATCGCCGTTGCGCCCGGGAACTGTTCAGCCGGCGTGGAGTGCAGTCGTCGCCGGGCCTCGCGCTTGCGCTTGGCCTCCGTGGCACGATCGTCGTCCGTGGCGTTGGCCCGCCGGCACCCTTTACATCGCTGGTTCTGTTCTCGGTGCTCTTCTTTGGCAAGGGAATCTGAAGCGCTTGACGCAGTGGAAGTCGAGGCGACAGCGGCTTTACGGCATTTACGGACCCATTTACGCTGCTGCGTACATCGCCGCTCCTTCCGCAGCCAGTCTTCTTTCCTCAAAAGGGCACGCAGCCGACCTATCCTAAGTCCAAACTGAAACTGATAAGAGCGTAGGAAACAGCGCGCAAAACAGACTAGGACGAAGAAACACACGTGACGAGTGCTGCGCTCGTTACGTGTGCTTCTATATCGTCATCTGTTTTTCGCGCTGTTTCCTACGATGAATTCCCACCAACGCGCCGCCCAACTATCCATTCTTCTATGATAGCTGGAGAGGTTAGCGCCATCTACGAGCGACAGCGGCAACCATACTGGTTGTGTGCTTGCCGCTGTCGCTTAGAGATGACGGTATTTGTCCAGAGGCGTTTTTGTCGACAAGTGTTTTGTACCGAACACGATCCTCGGGAACCTAGCTCTTAACAGCTCCGTTGTAAAAAGAAAACTGCATACAACTGTTTAAATACAAAAAAAAAAACTTACTTGTCATGGTGCTTGTGCCATGTGGTTAAGTAGTTCCTGGTTTTTGTAAGGGTGAGGCGCACCTTGCACTTTCGGCACACGTTTGTTTTTTGCTTGACCTTACGCTCGTCGTAGCAAACTTTGCAGTTTTACTTTTTCCACATCTTCCGGGTGTGGTGCTGCAGTTGTTTTAATACAGGGTCAACTGGAAGAATGTCTTTATCGTTGAGCCGAAGCAGCTACTGGACGAGATCCAGAATGTGCATCCACGCATATTTGTTGGCGTTATCACAGATGGTCCTTATTACCTCCGTGGCAAAGAAGAGTAGAAAGAAATTCAGGGTAGTTGCAAACTGTCTTTAGCTGCTCTGTAGCGCGGGGCCGAAATGTGCTCCGAGCGACCTCCTTGGGGTGAATCAAAATTTCTTCGCCGTGTTTGGCAGGATGTCTAGGCCAAGCGGAGTCAACACCCTGCAGACAATCAGTATTGCTCCGAGTTCGTACACAAGATCGCGAGACAAGCGCGTCAGTGCAAGCAGACAGCCGAAAGCCCTAAAACTCACCGGCGAAGGGCTGCGGATGTTTCGGGCCGACTCGAAACATTGTCACTGTCAGAGCTTGTATCTGATGAAGTGCTGTCTTCTTCAGACTCGTAGCTCGAGCCCTCATTACAAATATCAGGTGCGGATGCAGCATAATTGCGAGGGGGACGCTTTTTTCGCGATGCAGTGGCGCATGGCGACGATGCCGTGGCGGCCATGCTCACCGCACAGTTAATGTGATTAGCAACTGCAGCACCCCTTGCCAGGATTTGACAGAAGATACCAAACTGAAACTTCTATAAACTCGCTTGTAACCGGTCCTGCATGAGAGTCATGTGGCAGAGCTTTAGAAATGCGCTGTAGGGGAATAAGACCTCTCGGACTCGAAACCAAAGCTTACCATCCAGCAGCTGACATCTTTTTTGGCCAATTATTCCCACTCTACACTGTCAAATCGCAAATCCGGCGACATAATTTCATTCTTTGACTTATGAGAGTCTTTTGATCACAAAAAGTTCCATGTTGGTGCGGCATAATCACGAGCTGCAGGCTTTTTTTTTCATACGCAGTGGAGGGTGACAACCATGCCCCCTTTCGCCACAACACACACTTCAGTTCACAAAACTTTTCCTCAAAAATCATAACTTTGCCAGAGCAACGAAATTAAAACTGAGACTGAAAGCCCATTTTCTGGGCTAACCATTGGGTTGCATTAAGTGCCTGAGAAACAGCTTTAATGCATTGAAATGACGATTGAAATCGTCAATCATCGGTGATCAATCTGAATAGGTGTGGTAACAAAAGCGGTAATTCATATCGGGTGTATACCTTATTGTTTGAGACACTGAAGTGTCAACGACTTGCTAGATTTAAAAGACCTTGATCGCGGGGGAGCTCGCATGTTTCGTGTCGACCAGGTGAATAAGCAGGGATTTAGTTGAAACGACTCCGAAAGCCAGCCACCACTTCTTCCTGCCAGTTATTTTGAGGAAATGTGTTTACTGGTTTACAAAATTCAAAGAGGTATTAACTTGTAACTAATAAGAGACCAGCACTCACCAAACACATTGGAACCAGCAGGATACATGGGGTCTCTTTCAATAAAGTGTTTAGTACACATGCGAGAGGTTCTCGAATTTCATTTTTGCTATTTTCAATTTGATGAGACATTTCTTTCTCAGTTTTATTACAGTGGAGCAGGGCTAGATTCCCCAAGATCGTGTCCCCCGCGAAGAAATGAAGACACTGAACCCTGGACACCTTCCGCCATCTATAAGCGACGGCGACAAGCCATGTATCTGGTTGCCGTTGTCGCTCATAGATGGCGGTAGCCTTTCCACTCTGGCTCGCCGCCTTAACGCCCCCCTCCCGAGTGAACCAATTAGCCCGCGGCGCTGAGAGAGGCGTGTGCGCATGCGCGTGAACTCCCAGCTGCTCCCGGCTGAGCGGGGAGGGCCGCCATTTTCATTCATTCGTCCGGCGGAATTCATAGCGGAATGCATGGGATCAACATCCAAATATCGGTTCTCTCTTTTTATTTGGCAGGCTCCGGCAAGAATATGACATATTGTTATTCTTCGGTGGCTTGAAAAGCTAACGAATGAAGTTTCTCCACGTTACAACGCAAACTTTTATTCAGGCGAAAAAGAAATAAGCCTGTAGCAGACGAGGCGTAGCCTCAACGGTGCTCGGCGCCGACAGCGTTGCGTAAAAATGGCGGTCGTCTCCTCTTTGCTCCCTTCTTTCTCTCTCACTCCTTCGGCCACTCTCCTCCCTTTCCTTCACTTTTCTCCTCTCCATCGCCTTCGTCGCCACACCCACTGGCCAGACTCTCCCAATATACGGCTCTGCACTCTGGCTTGCCGACTTGCGGCCGGCCATTACTTTCCACTGTACAGCTTCGCTGGTCTTCCTTCTTCACCAGAGTGGAAAGGCTGAAAGTTTATTGTTCGAATCATAATAAAATATACACCCTATTTGCCGTGGTAGATGTTGGTAGTGGGGTAAAGCGCTTGATATTCTATTTTCATTATGCAGCTTTTTGTACTGGGGTAGAGAACAATGCGCCACCATCCGAGCACTTAGACACCCCAGCACCAAAAGTGTTTGTTAGCAAGACTATGCGTGCCACGTTTTCATGCTTCGATAAAATGTCCTACTGCAAATATCACTTCATCAAATCAACACAACACATTAAACAGGCTTTGCTGCTCATTACTTAAACAACGCATGTAGCAAGCTAACAAGCCGAATGATCCAAGATTTGCACAATCTGTCCTACCTTTAATGTCGCAAATGATGATAATAGCTAGAGAAGCGCCCCCCGTAGTTTGCACACGCCTCCAATAGTTGTGACCACTGGAGTAAAAGTTGCCATCTTGAAAACTTTTTTTTTTTTTGCTTGGATACTTTATTTGCGCTTTCATGAAATTTCCAGCGGCTGCTTTCGGAGTACTACCGTGGCTCGCCAGACTCCTTGAACTTCTGCAAGGACTTTGAGCCCCACAGCATCAGCTATTGGGAGAAGCTCAAGCGGTCACTCACCTCGAAGCTTCCTCGTGACCTCCAAGTCACGAGTGGCGACTCACAAGGCCAGGCCGTCGACCACTTTTGGGAGTTTGTCAAGGGACTCATTATGCCAGTCTGACTTCCTGGGGATGTTGGGGAGAAACTGTGAAATCCCTGGACCGTCTCCCTAAACTGGGAGATTTTGCACTCCATACGTAAGAGATGTTTGCCCCCACCAAGGCTGCCGTTTTGCACTTTTGGTGCCACAGCGTTGTGCAAAGTACTCTTTGTACCCCTTGTAAGTTTTGCAACTCACTTGAGTAAGCCTGTAGGAACAGTCTCTTTCGGGAATGAGATTTGAGTCTGAGGTTTTACTAGCATAAAACAAATAAAATTCAAATGAGCGTAAAAATAATTTAAATTTTGTTGTATTTACAATGTCAGTAGCATTAAGAACCGGTCAAAAGTTGTGTGTATTCTGTCTCATGATACATTGGCTACAACACCACTATGTCTCACAGAAATGTGCATAGCGTGGAGAATCCTGGCGGGCCGAAATTTTCAAGTTTATCTGATTTTATTTGTTTTAATTTGTGTCAAGTGTTTGCTAAGCCAGTAGAGTTTTAAAGCATTTCATTAAGTAAAAAATTAAAGAAAATGGATGCATTCTTAATTTAAACATGGGCCTTATTGTAGTGTCTTATGCACGAAGTCATTGCCTAGATACGACACCCAAAAAATCTGTGGTCATTGTGCACGTGCAGGAACCTGGTTTTCTAAGTGCAAAGCATCTTAGCAAGTGCCATTCCACAGCCAGTACTAGTGACTCCGTGCAACATCAAAAATGTGAGTTGGTGTATACACGTATATCCAATATCTGGCGTAGAATGCTGTGTACTAAAGGTGTGAAATGGCATAGTGAAGCAAAACTGCAAACTCTCTGCTTTTCATTCATTTTAAAACCATCACTTTTCATATAAATATGCTCTTCGCTTTTGACACGAGAAAGTATGAAATGTCTGGAAGATAGTCACAAATAGTTTGTATGCTGCATCATAGACAGGAGACAATGCCACAAAAGGTGGTTGCACAAGCACACATGCACATGCCCAGAACCCTTCCTGGAGATGGACTGTAGTACCCATTTTCTTGAAATGACTGTTGCAATTTATTTCAAATGTGCAACTTGATGTAAACAAATCGATATATATTTGATATCTAATGTAACAAAAAAATCATGACTGTGGGAGGCATCTGTCAGAAAAATTTGAGTTCTTTGCGCGTGCAAGATTGCTGCCAGTACATTGGAACATGCAATGCCCTGTACTGGTGCCATCTGCTAAGAGCCAGAAAGATTTGTCCCCAAGAATAGCAAACAAGTTGAGCAACAAAGCAGTAGCTGCTATATCTTCCGTTCTGTGCATGGATCCTTGTTGACAAAGCATTCATTAGACATTGCTGACAATGTAATGGAAGGGAGCTTGAAAAAACTTCCTGCCTAACTACTTAGACTGGATGCAATGGAGAACGTTGCTGATTTGCTATCTTTGATGATCATGAGCACAGAAAGTATGGTGTCTGCTTCCCTCGAGTTCTTGATATTCTAGCTTTAAGGAAAAGTCTTTGTAACTGCAGTATTCATTCACATACCTTTTATGTTTTGATCTACTGGAATTTCAAAATGGTTCAATTACTCTTTCAAATATTTGTGTATTGAATGCATACATGGTCATAATTTGATTTTCTCATTAGGTTTGTGTTGTCTTTCATTACCTGGCATAATTAGTGGTAAATGAATCTATTAAATAAATAGACGTATGGAGTGTAGTTTGCACAACAGCATACTTAGGTGACAAATTTACTAGAGTGAAAATTTGCATGTTAAACTTTTTGTGAAATATTACTTGAAGGAGCTTTTTTCTAGACTGCAATCTGAAGGAATATCAACCTACAAAGCAAACTACAAACAAAACAAACTGCAATGGTATATGTTTTAATATATTTGGTTGTTGCCCAAAATGCTGAGAAGTGCTCTTGAAATTGTTTTTCTGGAGTTTGCTTGATACTAGGGGGCACATAATTAGAGGATGCCAGATGCACCGACATTTTTTAAATGAGAAATCTGTTCCCATTTATATTTTTCTTAGCCACTCATGTACATCTTTTGATAAAAGTAAGACAGATCCACTGTAAAATTATAGTATGCTGTTGTAGGCTCACAAGTCATTCAAATGAACATTTAACTACCCATCAAGATAACACATTTTACATGTCTATCCTGGTAAAAACATGATTAGCCTTTACATTACATTTTCTAGGCAATGGAGCATGATATGCTCAAGACAACACTTGCAAATTGCACCTTTTTTTCTTTTTTCAGGAGAACATTTTTATTATTTGCAGTTGTGAGATGTTAAAAGATGGGACATTTATTTACAAGACTAATTAGAAAAATATAGGCATTTGGCTACAGAAATAGGCATAGAAAAGTATCCACTAAATAATTAACAAAACTAAGCAAAAAATTTAGGCATTTGGCTACAGAAATGGGTGCAGAAAAGTAGCCACCAACATTGATCAAAACAACCTTTGAGCATGGTATACTCTAGGTATCTACCACACAATGGTTTCATGTCATGCAAAAATACTTCTGCTTCATTGATTGTGGCAGAAAAGTGCTGCCTCTTAGCCCCCAACTTTGGACTGTAAGATGGTAATTCACTGCATGACTAGAAAACTGAACCCCCATTTTGCCTATCATTCTAATGCTGGTCACATAATGAATAGGGCTAATTATTGCTCGCTTAGAACTTTCACCAATGTCGACTGTCATCTTTTGCAGTTTTGCACCACAAGCATCTTGATTTATGATATTGTTTCTTAGATCTATGGAGTGTTGCTTTTAATGTGGAATCTCAGTTATTCAAATGTGGAGGGCATTGAGAAAGAGCTCATATCAAGGACAGTCCAGGAAAATAAAATGTATAATGCCTCTGTCCTTGACGAGAGACTGACATTGTGTCAAAATATCCAGATGTTCACACAAAGCTCGCTGGAGTATCTGAAATTCCAAATGATTTTAGTGTTTGAACTCATGTTTGCAGGGTTTTCTTAATTGCTTTTTCTTATCATATGCCAGATTATGGTATAGGCTTATTGCCCACATCATATAACTTCTTTAATTCTCACTGTCCAATATGTCTTGCACATAGTAGTTAATTTTGATACAACTCGTGGTTTTATTGCTAGGCATTTGATAAAATTGAGGCCTTTTTGTTGAATAATTTTAATGTTGGAAGTGCCTGGCTACGTCTTGTAGTCAGTCTTTTTTTTATAATTCAAGATGTTGATTTGGGGGAGAAGTTTTGAATGTTATAGTAACATTGATTTTTATTCAAATAAACAAGCTGGTTTTAAGATTCATGTCAACCAATTAAATTAAATTAAAATTATTTCTTGAATATGAAATACTCAGTACTTTCTCTTGCACAATCCTTTACCAGCCTATTTGGTACCAGTGTCTCTGTGTGCTTTTCAAAATGTAGTTTGACTGCTGTATTAAAGAGTACATTTTTGACATATCTGATGTTTTCTAATCTGGAGAATAACCCTTTACACCATGCATGCATCTACACCAGATGAAAAATACACTACTTTTGCAGCATTACAATTCTTGAACTGTTTTATAGAGAAAAAAGGACATTTATTGTACCATATTTTCCGGACAATAGTCCGTACCTGGTGCATTGTCCGCTGGGGCAAATTCGGGGTAAAAAATAAAAGTATTTGCTTAGATAGTCCGCACCCGGCACATAATCCGCACCCTGTGCATAGTCCACACTTAGCGCCTAGTGCGAACGTAAAAAGTATCACAAACAGCACACCTTGACAAATGCGTACTGTATTAGCGCAAAAAGAAGCTTTGTCATGCGTAAATGACCATTACTATAGTCCGTTACTCATAAAATTCCTCACGACTTGTTATAGGGAATGATCTAGAAAAAAAAAATTATAGTCCGCACCTGTAGATAGTCCGTTACGAGTGAATTTTCAACTTTTAAACATGTATAGTCAGTGGACTATAGTCCGGAAAATACGGTATTCACATTCCAGCTTGAATATGATGTAAACTTAATTTTGTGCACCTTAAAAGATTTTTTTTAGGAAGTGTTGGCACAGTAGTTCTGTCTTAAGGTATCCAATATCAGGTACTCTGGTAGAAAGGAACTAGATGAAGATATTTTACCTATAAAACCAGGAGTAGAAATAACAGCAGGCAGGTGAGCTGGTGAACTTTCAACATCTTGAGAACCGGACGGAACAAAAATGAGGACGATACACATAGGTATCTTTTCCTGCAATGAGAATGCCATGGTTTTGAATGTACCAGCTTCATGTGCATTAGAGCACAATATGAGAGTGGACTTTTTCTTCTGGTGTGCCTACTATTACACTCTTAGTACGTCTTATATATGTATGTTAGTAAAAGTAACATGTTAGTAAAATGTTATGTTAGTATGTTCGGTATAAAGTAATAAGACACATGCTTGTGATGGATTCCCCAGTGTGAGGGAATTAAAGGAATGGACAATGTGGAGCCTTACCACTTGGGATTGCCCATACCTGTACCTTTCAAAATAGGACTAGGCATGGGCTTGGTAAGTATGCACAAGTTTTTATAGCAAACACACATGACCAGCAGGGTGGTATTCATCTTGGTGAACATTTTAAATGAAGTACTGCCCAAAATTTTTAGGCACGTAGTTCTTTTTTTTGTTTTGGCGAATGTACAGTTATGTACAGTAACCGAGATATTTTCAACATAACTGCCCGCGTGGTATGGTGCGTATTGATGGCAAAATTGTCTTGGTGACAAAATGTTCCGATTTGAATTTTGTGGCATTGTTTGCTTGCTCTTTGTAGATTTGTTGATTGCTTGTTCTTGATGCAAATCCCCCTGCCCGTTTCGATATGGATGAGCATCATACCGTTGTGCGGTCGTGTACCACTACTGCGTGGTGCACGTTAAAGACCCCAGGCTAGCAGTTGTACTGCACTGGCTAAATTTCTCATCTACAGCTGGGAGACTCGTCGCCCATTGAGGCAAACGAAGTTCTAGGCTGTATAAACATATGCACAAACCATTTTTTTTTTGTTCTGCAAAATGCATGTTACGAAGGGTTAGTCATTTTAAGGGTTTATTACAGCGAAGCTGTTTATGACTGGGTTGCATGGATTTTTCGTGTGCGTGACCAAAAACTCTATGCTTGCACCGCCGCACGTGCACGCCTTCCCCGTATAAAAGATTTGAAGTAAATAACCAAAATAAAGTGTTGACGAATGCGCAATCAAGAGGCCATTTGTTTTAGGCTTTTCCTTTAGAGCAGTTACTGCTGCAGACGCCGGCACGTGCAGCGTGTGGAACACAATTCCCTGCATTTTACTTGATCCTTGGGTAGTTTAGCAATAGGTCTATTCAGTAGATTAGTTATCAATAGGCGCCATTTTCAAGATCAGTAGACTCTGTGGTAGATAATAAAGGTTTCTCAACGATTTGCCACTGTGCGACCCGCGTCGGCCATGTCTACGCTCGCACCGCCCTCTCTTTGTCGTCATTCCAAACGCTTGCGTGCCTAGTTTGTTTCCGCTCTCCCGGGGTGGCAATCCCGTCGCGCGGGTCTACTTTCCACCGGGTGGCGGTCCCGTCGCGCGAGTAGTTTCCTCCGGCTCTTCGGGGCGGGTCTGTGTCGTGTACTAGACAGCTTCGCTGCACATCCACCTTCACCAAGTGGAATGGCTCATGGTTTTTCTTTTTAAACTATCTTTTTTTATTATTAGACAGTACAAGTATGATTATAGCCCAAATAATGTAATTCTATTTTACATAAAGAGCAGAAGAGTTTCATAGTTCACATTGCTTTTTGTGCATTCAGCTTGTGAGGGAATTTAGTGCATGCAAATTTGTAAGTTCTTGAAAAGCAGGATGTTCCTCAGCCCGATCTGGCACAACAAAACTACCTGCAAATAGAAAAAAAAGGCATTGGCCATCAGATATGGTTGAAAGAAGTTTCACCAATACACATATCATATGAAAGACCTCTGATAGTAGAAATGGACCACAAAGCTCTTGAAACAATCTGCCAAAATTCGCTGGGAAAGCCCCACCACGCCTCCTAAGGCTGCTGCTTGATGTGCAGCACTATGCACTAAAGATTGTCCTCAAAGAAGGCAAGGAGCTGGTCATTGCAGACCTCTTGAACAGGGACTAAACCAGCAGAAACAGTAGAGTCGGCGATACAGGACATAGAAGTATTGAAGAGAGATCAACAAGATCCACAACTACAAGGAATCGTCGAAGCAACCCTCAAGGGCTGGCCGGAATAAAAGAGTGGACTGTCGGAAGCAGTGAAGCTCTTATGGCCATTCCGCGACGAACTTGTTGTTCACGAGGACGTTTTTTTCAAGGACAACTGCATACTCATCCCCAAAACCTGGAGGAAACGACTGCTCCAGTAGGTACACGAGGGACATCTTGGAAGTTTCATCAAGAGAGCCAAAAAACTGTCTACTGGCCTGAGATGTCACAGGAGATAAGGAGTTTGTTGAATGTTGTGCAATCTGCCAGGCAAGCCAAAGGAAGCCTCCGAAGGGGCCAGTGCTACCAAAAGAAGTACCAATTCTCCCGTGGGAAATAGTCGCACCTGGTGATAGTGGACAGCTACTCGGGCTACATCGACTTTAAAACTCAAACAAGTGGAACATCAGCAGACCATCAAAACACTGAAGTGCTGGTTCGCAACACATGATATGTACTAAGGCTACTCGAGTGGGGCAATGGATCTTGCTTTGTAGCAAAGGAATATTCCAAGAGTTCAAAATGGGAGGAGGATTTGAACACAACTTAGTCCCAGGTACCCACAATTGAATGGACTAACTCAAAGAGGGGTGCAAGTGGCCAAGAATTAACATAAAGAAATGTGAGAGGAATAGAACAGACATAAACGGGTTACTAAACTTGCGCAACGTCCCAAGAGACGAAGAGCTCGGACCACCAGCACAAAGGCTCTTTAGTCGTCAAACCAAGACAACGCTACCAGTCAGCGCAGAGGATCTGAAACCCGAAATAATTAACAATGTAAAAGAAAAGCTCGAAGCACTGCGTAGAAATCAAAAGGTGTATGCAGACGTTCATGCTGCACCCGCTCCAGAAGTCAAGGAAGGATCCAAAGTCGGAGTCTTCGACAGTCACCGAAAATGTATCCCAGGAACAATTGTGGGAAAGACACCTCAACCAAGGTCTTTCATTGGTTGACACCTCAGAAGAAATACGTCTTTCATTAGATCTACCAAAGCAGACTTGGAATACAAAGACTGCGGTACCCACTGTCGCACAGCCACACCCTACAAGCCAGAGAGGAATGGACTATCAACCAGACAGTGGGACAAGCTGCAGTGTAACGGACTCGGTCAACAAATTGGCACAGTACAACAACCGCAACAAGAGTTGGAAGGCTAGTGAAGGCACCAGTTCGAATGATTCTCTAAAACAAACAAAAGATGGGAGATGTAACTAAAGCTGCATCGCCATTTGCGACATCACTTCCAACCTGCCTCCGAGGCCCAAGCATGGCCCGTTCTTTGTCATTGCAAGCCCATCAGAATACGTTTGTGGGTATATAAGCAGCTGAGTTTGAGACGTTTCTCACTCTTCTTTCTCTGCCACTTCAGATTTCCTTTTTTGAGCTCCGGTCTCTGGTTAATGTCATGGCAAACAACTGCAGTTTGGATTTCGAGATGGCTCTTAAAATAGATAAACGGGAAGAACGTGATCTTAACCAGGGGCAAATTCAGAGGGGGAGTCCGGATGTCCTGACCCCCCTCTTGATTTCTGCATGTGTAAAATTTAGGGCGTGAAACAAGGGAGAGGGGTTCCTAAAGAAATGGTACGCTGACCCCAGAAAAGATAAAACCAGGCCCCAGAAAAGATAAAACCTAGACCTTGAAACAGCCCAAAAGTTACTTTGCCCAACACCAGCCTTTGTGGTGCATGCCATATCACCTGTAATATTACAGGTAATCGATTCGAGGGCAGGTGGTTTCTGCAAAATTCTTAAAGATATATTACCAAATATCTGCGTACATTAAAGATATAGTGAATGTGCATATGTTGAATTGAACTTCAATGGCAGTTCATTAAAACCATTGAAAATCGTCCAAAGTGGTGAAAATTCACAGGGTCTCGTAAGTTATCCCTAAGACAACTTGAAGGTGAAAGCCCAAGCTCCATTTACTCGCCAAGTCATCCCTCTTAATGTGCTGAGTCATCCTTCTCAATGTGCTGAGTCATCTTAATTCGCTTAGTCATCCACTGAGTGGTTGGTACCTTTCGTTTCGCCGACATGTTTTCGCTCAAGGTCTTTGAAGGCCGACTGAACGGTGAGACTTATCAGGCTTTCGCCTTAATTATTCACGTGGGTCAATTTTGTCAATGTTTGTGCGCACCCGTCTGTTTTGGGAGCGCAGCGATTGGATTGGCTAAACCCAGTGTTGGGAAGTGGTTTAAGTACATTGTACTTAAAGT